CCTGCGTTTTTGGCTTCGGAAGCAAGCTGGGCTGCCGGGGAGAAATCAGCTCCCTCCTTTCACCTGATGCTGAGTCCCCTTCAGCATCGGGTGAAAGGAGGGAGCCGATTTCTCCCCAGCTGCCTGGCTTGCTTCCGAAGTCAAAAAGGCAGGGAGAAAGCGTGGAAAGTTCGAACTTCCTGCCCTTTCTCCCTGCCTTTTTGGCTTCAGTGGTTTCAGAAGGCTTCCTCCGATGTCGGAGGAAGCCTTTTGAAAGCTCCAAAGGCAGGGAGGAAGAGCGGGAAATTCGAATTTCCCACCCTTTCTCCCTGCCTTTTGGGTTCGTAACCCGATCCACGTTCACAAGTAGGGTGTACTACTTGCAATGAGATCGGGTTTGTAACCCGAAATGTTCGTAACTACGGCCGTTCATAAGTCGAGGGCCTACTGTACAGATGAAACAATTAGAATTAACTTCATAAAATAACAATAACAATAGCACTAGTGAGGGAAATCTCTCAAAAATCGATCTAAAGAAATTTCCCCAATATAGAAAAGGTGACTGCCCAGAGTCTTTCCTCATTTCCTTTGAATGTGTGTGTTTGGACTTTAATGTGAAGGATAATGAAAGGATTATGGTTTTGAGATCCCATATAAGTGGAGATTTAGCTGATCTGTATTCACAGATGCCTCTGAAGCAGGCTAGAGATTTTGAGGCCTATAGAAAAATGATGTGATTTTCTAGATTTGGCATTAATGCAGAACACCTGAGAAGAAAATTTCGTTCTCTTACCAAAAAGCCTGAAGAATAACAACAGCACTAGTGAGGGAAATCTCTTAAAATCGATCTAAAGAAATATCCCCAATATAGAAAAGGTGACTGCCCAGAATCTTTCCTCATTTCCTTTGAATGTGCTTGTTTGGACTCTTATGCTCAGTTGGGGGCTAAATTAGTTCAATGTCTGGAGAAGTGGATGGAACGTGAAAATGTCACTTCTCTTGAGCAGATTAAAAATGTGATTGGGTTTGAACAATTTTATTCTATTTTGCCTAGGGAATTGTGTTATTTAGTTAAGGACAAAAATCCTAAAAATCTATTAGAAGCAGGTGAAACAGCTGATTACATTGTGGAGATCTAAAACCACAGATTCTCTGAGGTAAATTTTAACAAGCAGAACTGGGACAACAATAAGAAACCCTTTAATAAAAATCACCTCAGCAAAAGAACAGGAAAAGAAGGCCAGGGTAGTACTTCACCTAAATTAGCATGGTCTAGTTCTCAGACCCAAATGAACCCTGAGGAAAAGTTAAAGTTGAGCAGATCTCCTCAGAGTGAATGAAGAAGGCAGTGTTATAACTGGGGAGTTCGGTCACTTACAGTTCAACTGTATGAAAACTAAACTTAGGAATGAGAAGGATGATAATCAGACAAAAAGGGTTTACTGTTTAAAACCAGTTGAGGCCACAAAGGGAAGCTGTAACAATGGTAATTCTGTCTCCATGGCAACTGGCACGACAGAAAATTCTGATCTGCCATTAGCCCAGGTTGTTCATTGTTTTCTAGTAAAGGCAGCAGTTATTTTAATTCATAACCCTTGTGAGAGGATACTTATTAATGAAAAGTCTTATGTAGGAGTGGTTGATACTTGTTCTAATATAACCCTGTGTCATCCTGATATGATTCCTAAAGAACAAATTCTCACAAACCAGACTGTTACCATCAAGGGAATAAGTTATACTCCAGTGATTTTACCCATGGCTGAATTGAAAAACTATAGAGATTGGATCGGAAATTGGGACGTGGCAATCTCTGATCAAATTCTTGCACCTTGTTTAATTGAATCTGAAGAAGATACTTATGAATTATTAAAGAAACATCTATAATTAATAAACCTTTTTTATTCAAAAGACAGTGATGAATGGACCTTCATCTTTCCTAAGCAAAGTATGTTGATTTAGTGAATCAACTGGTGGCAGCAAGTAAAAAGGTGGGGTTTTTTTTGTTTTGTTTGCCTTCGTGAATTCTCTGTGTTTGGAAGAGAAACAGGGGCCACAAATGGGCAAACGTCACAGTGGCAACCATGCCCCATGTTAAAGTTAATATTGACATTAATTTTCAAGCCACTCTGAACTTGTTTAGGATCAAATATAAATATACTAACATCTAACTAAATTAACAGTGTACAGTATTTCACCTCCCAGCTTTAACAGAACAGTGTCTAGGACTGGATGCTTGTCATTCTTGTGCTCAGTATGTAGTTTGTTTCTCTGTATATGTTGAAGAGCAAGGCAGCAGCAGACAAAAAAATATGATGCCAGATTTTGGGATAAGGTCAACTCTCTTTGCACCCTGCCTGAATTACATCTAGGGCCTGGCATTTTAATTTCCATCCATCCTGTTAAGCAGTATAACCACTTTGAGATTTCCACATGGTTTTCTGCCCTCTTCGATGTATACATAGAACACTGCTCCTAATTCTTCCTATCGGATCCAACATCCAGAGGTGACCACATCCCACGGATTCTCTCCATTCCACAGGTTTCCATTATTCCCCACTGTATTTAGGCTCCCTCATCTCAGGCATGAGCATTTCCCACTATCGTTCTTTGGTCTTTCAGCCGTTCTATTTTACTATATGCTTGTTGTTTACTTCTATGTCATTTGAATTTTGGTAACGAAAAACATGTTTACTTTCTTAATTTTTCCTCAATGTACCCCAACACCCTCTTCTCCTTATGGCTTTGTGTAAAATGTGCTCTGCCACATTTTGATATCAAGCATCAGCAGTCTGGTTCAACTGAAGTCTATCCCATTAATACAGGCTGTCCCCTCCTCTGCCTGCCTAATCTTTAGCCCCTCCTTTTCCCATCACTGTCTTGTGCACATAGCGAGGGCTCTCAACTGTGTTTTGCTCAGTTGAGGGGAATAGGTAGCCTGTCATACTTGTCATATGTAATGATACACACTGGAGAGCACTGATATAACTGCTGTCTACAATTGTAGATGCTTTTAGAAATTCTGTCAATCTACTTTGCAAGTGAAGGGTGTTTTGGTGTGGGTGGGTCATTGCCCATGCTTTCCTTGTTTGCTAAACTTGCAGAGATGCTGAACTCAACTAGTTTCCTTTCTCTTACCTTGATACCATGTCTCTTGGCCTAGTAGTACAAAACTTTTGTAGGTTAGTCTTGGCATAGAGGCCGAGATCCTACTGATGTCTGTTCCTACCTAGCAAATAAAGGGGCCCCACAGTGATTCGTGGGGATGATGGGCAAACATGCTGGTTTTGTGTATATGGAAGAATTGTGGCAGGGAGTCTTTACTGGCTGGCTAGGAATAGACTGAAGGTTACAGACTGTGTTACACTAAGCATCAAGATTTCTGGCGGAATCAGAGGTGACCAACTCTAATCCTCCAGAGATAGCTTGCCTGCAATGACTTCAACAAGGAAACCCAACTGGTATCAAATAGAGGAGTGCAGATACGTTCTCAGTCTGCAATCTTAATCCCACTTATTAGAAGGTAAGTATCACTGAAATTAGTGGGATTAATTTCTGAGCCAATATGTGAACAACTGGGCTTTAATTCTTTGATACCAGTAGATCTCACTTCTGAACTTGTGTACAGGACAAGTTTAATTTAAGTGGCCTTCTCTGAAGTTTTACCATATAGCTTCATTTACTAGAATCTAAAACAGACATAAAGCAAGTTTCAGGGGTTGTATTGACACTTCCAGAACCTAGTGGGGCTGGTGCTAATAATATGCTTCTGAAAATCAACAGTCAACCTCCTTTCAAAATAAACTTCCACTTAAAAAATGGTATGCCAGGAAAAAGTGCTTTGTTACAAAGTCTACAGTGTTTATAGGAGGCATTTCAGTTCAAATGCCAGGCAGTGCAATTTTGATTCTGATATAAGTTAACCGGCAGGAAACATGGGAGGAATAGCAAAATGGCAAAACATGCAGCCCACATGGTGCCCAACCTGCTCTAACATATGCACTTACATCCAGGTTCAATTGAAGTCCATGACCAAACTTGAAATTGTGTAATAATGGATAATTAACATGTTGGTTGTTTTTTTTTAATTCACTGGCCATATACCGTATTTTTCCATGTTTAAGATGCTCCCACCTACTTTTCTAACCCAAAATTAAGAAATCTAAGCGGGGCTTAGCAGGTGGAGGGGAAAGGGATCAAAGCACAGCAGGATTGCTTTGATCCCTGCTTTCTCCTGTGGCTGCACAATTGCTTTGATCCCTTTCCCCCTCGTGCAGCCACTGGATTGCTTTGATCCCTTTCTCCCTCCTTTTGCTAAGCCCTGTGGGGCTTAGCAAGTGGAGGGGGAAAGCAGGGATCAAAGTGCTGCAGCATTGCTTTGATCCCTGCTTTCCCCTCCACTTGCAAAGCCCCATGGGGCTTTGCAAGAGGAGGGGGAAGGGATCAAAGCACTGCAGAAGCACTGTTTTTGTTCTCTCCTCAGCTTACCTCCATGTATAAGACAACCCTCAATTTTTAGTATGAAGATTTTAGACAATAGTACTGTCTTATACATGGAAAAATATGGTATGTGGATCTGAATAATGAAGACAGATCTATTTCTCTTTCAAGTCATTTATCTTATTTTAAAAGTACACCAGAAAACGTACTTGTAAACATTTATTTTTTTTTCAAACTGAAGAAAGGCTTGCATCAGCACACATTGTACAGCCTTGCAAATCATACAGAAATTGAAGGTGTCTTTTATATGTGCAATGAATCATTTGATGTCCAGTGATCCTCTACAATGATGAAAAAAAAATATTTAAACCACTTAAGAAGTTTCCAGCACTTACTCTTACAGTAAAAAAAGAAAAGGAAAAAAGAGAGAAAAATATATTGATGGGAACACAGTTAAAGTGCAAACTTCTTGCCATTTAGGGGGGTCACATTTAATTTCCTGTTTATTGAAAACTGATCACCTCTGGTTAAAATTATCTGCAGTGTTCATTTTTTTTCCTTCTAATATTTATCCTGCTGGAAGAGAAGCATGCTGCTTGAGAGTAGACATTATCGGCAGTTACTGTTCACATCTCTTAAGTCTAGAAAGGGAAGGACTGGAAGTCTTCAATCATCATTTTTGAACTCTGCTCCCTTGGGAGAGAACAGAAGGGAACTATGCTACTGTTCTTGCCTTTTGCATATTGGGTTAGGAACACAGTGTGGAGCTCTTCTCTCCTTCCCTCCTAACCCCATATACCTGCCCTTAAACTGATAGAAATGTGCTGGTTGTGTGCAAAGGGATACAAAAGACAGGTTAAGAATATGCATATTTCTTGTGAACAAAAGTTTGCTGTACAACAGAGCTTTGGATCTGATACAAGAATTCAGCAATATAAAACAAAACACTAGAAAAGGGGCTTTTAAACAGCATTCTGCGGAGAAGGCTGCTTGTCCATATCACATCACAGCAGTGTTTTGCTTGGTTTCAAGTTGTTGGTGATTTACCCCCACCCCCACCCCCACCCTGCATCTTCTGCCTAGATCACTGGGCGTTTTCTTCAAAGGCTTTACTGTTCTTTGATGTCCAAAGAGTCTTTATGAAGACAACAAAAAACCCATAAACATCAAGCCAATCAAGTAGAGGAGATAAGGACATGGAAGTAATAAAGGCTGAATGTTCAGTGGCATAGTTGTTACTGAGAACTAGCCCTTTCTAGAATGTGAACATCGTAGTGCTTCTTGCTGGTTCTCAGCCTAAACTTATTCAGTGAGTTACTTTGTTTCTTCAATGCGTTTTGGGCTGCAGACATGGTTGGAAACGTTGCTAGAACCGTATACGTAGATGCCAAGTCACTAGGCTTCGAAGGTTCACTGTTCACACTGCTATCTCCACTACCACAGAAATGGTGGTGGTGTTGCTGCTGCATCTGTAGAGAGTGGGGATTGCGCAGCCACCGAATCTTGGCACCGACTTTATGGAGTTCCACAAATAACTTTTCAGCCTCTGCACGAGTTATTCCTTCTGGCAGCTCAGTAATTTCTAAGACTTTTCCTACAACTGAAGGAAAATAAATTATTGTAGAAGGTCTGTGGTATGTAGGTCTTATAGTTAAAGAGAACCCCACCTAGGAAGTTCTGGACTTGCCTGACAAGAAATGATTGCGCCTGTTCCTTGACCCTCAATGTTCCAAGAAAAGGAAAGCTACTAACATTGTACATTGTCAGCCCCTTTAAGAAAAATAATTAATGGAGAGCTATAATATCTGATTATTAATTAAGAACTGTGTGACCTCGACAGGTAGGAAAAAAGCAATACATTAATTTCCAGCTTTCTACATTGCTCGTGTCCAGTGATGCCAGCCACTAAGTGTTTAAGTGCTCATTAGTGCTGTTAGAAGCTGAAATTGAATGAAAAAAAAAATCTTCTTAATCTGCCATTCTGTAACAAGTGCAATAAAATTACAGAAAATTTAACTCGGAGGGCCAGGTTTTCTAATGGAAACCAAAATTATCTGGCTTTTTATCCCATGGAGGAAACCCTGCAGATGACATTCCTAATACCCAGATACACAAAGCCCTATTCTTCTGAAATAGACATGCTTCCAGCCAACATCTACTTCACGATGCCTCCTGATGCAAATCATGCATGTGGCATGCTGGCAGTCTCTTAAGAAACAAAAAAACACAAATGTATGCCATCTCTTCACAAAATAAAAGCAGGGCATACACAAAGAACAGTATGGAATAGGGATGTGCCATTCACATTTTTTGGACTCCAGTTTCCAGAATTCTCCATTTTGGGAGCACCATTTGACAGACCCACAACTATAGATATCTAAATTTCGGTCATCTGGAGAAAGGCCTACGTTGAAGTCTTCATGGCCTAGCTTTCTATTTAAATTTTTTTAAAAAAATCCAAACAACATATCTCTAGAAAGGAATATGGAATATCAGCAGAACATAAAAGGATGGCCAAAATCCTGTAAAATAGCTCTGCCCGGACAACAGAAATTACATCACTGTCAGTAGCAGACTGCCACTGATGACTTTCTTTTTTGATGTTTTTAAAAATTTCGGGATGCCCAGGGCTTGCACACAATGAGACAAAGTCACATGCACCTTGAATTTAAGAAAGGAAGTCTTTAATCAGTGGCCATCTGTTGCTGATGATGACATAATTTCTGTTGCGCAGGTGGAAGCACAAGAAGATTTTAGCCAGTGAGTGTGTAGCTTTACATCTGAAGGTAACAGTAGCTGTGAATTCCAGAACACGAATACAAAGACTTGGACAACATGCTGGATCTCTTGGGCAAGCAGTCATTCATGTCTCCTGTCACTTTTGGCTGTACAGTGGTGCCTTGCTTTATGATTGCCCCGTTTAACGATGAAACCGCATTACGATGAACTTTTTGCAATCGCAAAATGATGTTTCCTATGGGGGAATTTTGCTTTGCGATGATCGGTTCCGTGCTTCGGGAACCAATTCTTCGCAAAACAATGATTTTCCAACAGCTGATCGGCGGTTTCAAAATGGCCGCCAGGGAAACAAAATGCTCCCCCCGCTGTTTTCTGGGACGGATTCCTCAACGCACAGGCAGTGAAAATGGCAGCCCTATGGAGGATCTTCGCTGGATGGTGAGTTTACAGCCCTTTGGAACGCATTAAACGGGTTTTAATGCATTTCAATGGGTTTTTTCTTTTCACATTACGACAGTTTCGTTCTACAGCGATTTCGCTGGAACGAATTAACGTCGTAATGCGAGGCATCACTGTACCATATTCCATATCTGGTCTGATGACAACAGCTGGACCTACATAGTTGTGGCAAAAGAGGAAATAGGCACAATATATTTTCCTAGTACTGCAGTTACATCCTACAGTATTGCCACACATTTTTGTCTTTTTTATTTTTTTATTTCTATTCTGCTTTTACCTCTAATGTTTGCACAGACTAACATTGCTACTCTTTCTACAATTATTGCCACATAAGGGCTGAGATCCAATAGCAAGTCACCACTACAGTAGGCCCATTGAATCAGCTGAGAATTTGGAGGGTCAATTCCCCTGTAAGTCTCGCTTATTGAATGGCCTATTCTAGTTGCACTTGAGTACTGCATTTCAGTTAATGTCACATACCTGGTTCTCCTGCACCAAGGTCTGCAGAAGCAGCCTTTTTAGCTGGTTTTCTTCCTCTATTCCCATGTCTGCTTCCAGGCTGTGGTGGTGGGAGAGACAGAGAGTAGTCACAGTTGTACAACACACAAAGGCAAAAGCATTATCAGAAGTTGAACACATTTTCGCAGCAGTAAAGGATAGAGGGTGGAACATTATCCATTGTACGTGAAAATAGTACATTGCTGCTTCCTAGACTTGAACAGGTTTATTTGGGAAGGGGTGCAAGCACTGTGTTACTAGAATTGGTGCAGTTGTATATTTTTGTGCTCCATAAATAAAAGTACTTAAGTGGGCGAACGGCAGCACATAATTTACAACCAAAAATAAATAATTCAATGCACTGCAGGGCACAATGAATCGTTTGGGTTCCATGGGGCACACAGTTGATGCATCTCCACTGTGCCAGATAGATGGTGGAACAGGAGCAGATCCGATTCAGACCAAGCAAAACCTTATTTGTTATTGTTTACAATTCTCTAATTTGGAGCTACACCTCAATCATAGAAGCCCCATGTATTTGTAAATAGTACTGTGTTTGTTTTCATGTTCCAAAAACTATGCTGCATATGAAGCATTATTTATGTACTATACTACAGTCTCTGTGGTTAATGTACTAAAGAAACATCTCAACAATTGTCTACTTAAAGGACAATCCAGTGCTCTAAGTGAGACATAATGCGATCTCACTTTATAGGTGAGGCCTGCAAACCATTCTAAGCTTGTCAACTGACATAACTGCATCTGGCCTCCTTTAAAACACAATCCCCTTCCCAGGTGCCAAATACACACAACAAAGATAATTTATCTGGGGGGGGGAACCCACAGAACCCTTTTACCAACACTGTGAACTACTGCTCTTTTAGGAAAGCAGCCAATGTGTCATTTTTCATAAAAGAACCTTCCCAATTTTAAATATGTTTTATCCAAGTTACCAGGACCCATCCTCCTTGCTGGGAAGAGAACCATTCTTACCTGTGGACCTGCTACCTGCCCGTGTAGCAGAGACGGAGGATTGTACTGCAATGGCTGGCCCAATAAGGGGTATCTGGCATCTGCTGAAGATATAGAAAGCAACATAATTTAAGATATAGAATACAGTATTTATTTTCTGTCTAATCAACTAACACTTAAACAGTATTGGTAACTTCCTCCGAGTTTCACTAAAGAAAAAATGTTCAGTACAGTATAGTATGTGTTTATAATAATGGAAATAAACCAAAATACAATTTGGACAACACAGGCATACTACAGTGGTGCCTCGACTTACGAACGTCCCGACATAGGACCATTTTGAGTTATGACCAGCTCCAGCCGCAAAATTGCTTTGACTTGCGATGGGAGCTTCAAGTTACGATCAAAAAAAGGCAGGGGGAAAAGGTGGGAAATTCAAATTGCTAACCATTGGTGGTGAAGAGGCTGCTTCTTTGTAGCTCTTTTGCCCCAGCAGTTAGAGAGTGTGCGATAGGAGGTGGCTTCAGACTGCCTGGTAAGGTAAAGTGCTGCTTTCTGCTTTTTAAAAACAGTTCTGGGTGGGTTTTGCAGTGTGGTTTTGGGCTGAGTCTGTTTGCTTTCTGCTTTCGCCAGTCTCTGTGGCCAGCATCTTCAGAGGACAGCACATGATTCTCATCAGAAAAGCAGCCATATTAGTTCCATCAAAAAAAAATTAGTTCTTTTCACTAAATTTGACATGTGGAGATAGCACATGACAAAAAGACTTTTTGCCAATATTCTAGTTAAATGAAGAAAGGGGGCAAAGGAGATATTAAATATGACACTGAAATTGCAAACGTATTTGGGGGTCAAAAATATGATACATGAAATTACTGCTGTAATTGGCGTGGAGTCCATGGGATAAGGTGAACTACATCAGCACATCTGGACTGTCATGCAAAACATGTTTCTCTGCCATGTCTAATTATTTAAAAATCTCCCTTCCAAATGATTCAGTAGCAATGTGACTTTTTGCAAACATGAACCTAGCTCATATACATTGTTGAAAGCTATTCCTTTGGAGGCCTTTATAAAAGAGGATGAGACTGCATGAGCCAAAAAATTTCAGTCTAGAGAGACCCATTACTTTAGAGAATGGAACAGTACAGCCTCACTACTTAGCTCTTCAAGCTGCCTGATTCTAGATTTCCTTTTTTATCGCAGTATATTTTCTAGAAGTTTTGTTATGTACTTGCACTAAAGCACTTAATAAATCACCCTATAGTAGCCTGAAGAAACTAACAAAAACCTGATGAGAAGCACACATACAAAGGCTTCAAAAACATATTTATATTTATTTATTTAATTTATAGGCTGTATGACAAGCCACCAAGCAGCTAAAGAAGTTTCAGGATTCTGGTTTTAATATATACCTGGTAACAATGCAATTAGAAATGCTAATGAAACAAAAACAATATTCAAAATTCATACTTCACTGCTAAGAATTAATAAAGATGAGTCTATCCCCAAAGAGAATATTATGTGGCTGGGGGGGGGGACTATGTATACTGTATATATAGATATAATAAACATCAATTTCTTGAGTAATAGAAGTCCTTACCTTGTCCAGGGACAAAAGGTCTAGAGAACGGGGGCACAAGAGGAAGGGGTGTTAATGTGGGACGGATATTCTTCATGTTTGACACCTGGGTGGGTGCTGGTGACTGGGCCGGAGAGGTGGCAGGGCTACCAATCTGTGGACTGTGCTGTAACTTTATTTAAAAAGAGAGAGAGAGAGAGAGAGAGAGAGAGAGAGAGAGAGAGAGACTGATTATATAGGAGTTTGCCAAGGTAGGGGAAAATCATTCTTTTTTTATTTATTTGAAAGCATTTTAAAAATCCATTTCATAGATGGGAAGTAAGCTGTGAATCTGTGAAGTCTGAAATGTGGGAAATTCCCATGAACAATTCTTACAAAAAGAATATTTGGGGGATTGGGGGGGCATGTTGGTTCTTTTGAACATCTCAGCGGCTTTTGCCACCATCAACCATGGAATTCTTCTGGGCCGTCTCTCTGGAATGAGACTTGGATGCACTGTTTGACAGTGGCTCTGGTCCTTCCTGGAGAGGAGAATTCAGAGGGTGCTCCTGGGGGATTCTTGTTTGACACCCTAACTGTTGTCCAACTGTTGTTCTGTTTTGTGCCCTATGCTATTTAACATCTACACAAAACCGCTGGGAGAGGTTGTCCAGAGTTTTGTGGTTCGGTGTCACCAGTACGTTGATGAAACCCAACTCTCTCTCTCCTTCCCATCTATATCCAAGGAAGTTCTAAATCAGTGTCTGATGTCAGTAACGGCCTGGAAGAAGGCAAATAAACTGAAATTTAATCCAGACAAGACAGAGGTGCTCCTGTTCAATCAAAAATCAGATCAAGGAATAGGGCTGCACTCTGTGCTGGATGGGGTTACACTCCCCCTGAAAACACAGGCATGCAGTTTGGGTTTTTTTCTGGATTCTGAGCCTGGATGTCCAAGTTTCAGAAGTGGCCAGGAGTGCCTTCGCACAATCAAAATGAGTGCATCAGCTGCACCCATTTCTTGAGAGGTCTGATCTGGCCATGGCGACACATGCCCTAGTTACATCTTGACTGGATTACTGTAATACACTCTACATGGAGCTGCCTTTAGAATGTGTTCAGAAACTACAAAGGGTCCAAAATGCCACAGCCAGATAGCTAACTGGGGGCTGGTTACAGAGATCAGATAACTCCCGTTTCAACAGCTCTACTGACTGCCAATCTGTTTCCGGGCACAATTTAAAGTGTTGGTTTTAACCTATAAAGCCCTAAATGGCTTGGGTCTAACCCATCTAAAAGACTGCATCTCCCTCTATGAGCCTGCCCAGCATAAAGATTATCAGGGGTGCATGGTGAAGACACAGAAGAGGGCCTTCTCTGTCACTGGTCCCAGATGCTGGAACTCTCTCCCACGGGAAGCTAAGCTGGCCCCATCTTTGCTGTCCTCCCACAAGCAGGCAAAGACCTTTCTCTTCAGGCAGGCTTATCTTTAATGACTGATGGTCTGAGAGGAATTTTTAAATGGATTGTTATGCTCTGTTGTTTTAAATGTGTTTTATTATTGATTTTATTTACCATTTTAATATACTTGTTTAATTCCTTTTTAATATTTGTATCCTTACTGTTTTTAGCTTTTAAATACTGTTTTCAATTATGTAAGCCACCCTGGGTTCTTTTAAAGAGAAAGGTGGGATAAAAATATTTTAAATAAATTAATTTTGTAAAATTTTGATATAAAGTTCTTATGCCATCTATGGCTGGCAATAACTAAACTGGAAAAACAGCACTCTGTTCCTCCTGCTACACAGAAAAGATGAGAGCAGACAGTCCAACAGACCTTCCTTTTGTTCTTCTGTAGGACTGAGCCTGTCACGCAAGCCTAACCGATTGTGCGGGGTATGGAAGAAGGCACTGAAACGAAGGAATTTACACCAAAAAAACTCACAATTTCCTACTGATTGCCTGTATAACTCTCTCATGCAATGTTCAAACACGGGTGCAAATATTTAAGAAATTGCCACATGTGAAAAGTCATGAATTGAACAGTCCCCTTTATAAAAAAAATAAGCAAGTGTTCTAAACACAGAAGATGGCATACCTGTGTACAACTGTCCAGAGTGCCAAAATCTGTCGACTTTTGAGCTCTTTGATGGTCACAATAATATTTATTTTGCTTCCACTGGGGAGGGGAATGGGGTCGAGGCTGAGGATTGTTAGGGATGTTGAGCTGCATCATTACCATTCCTCCACCTGGTGGTGGCACTACTGCTACAAAATAAGATGAGGAAAGAATTGCGCTTCAGTTTCAAGTTTACCAATTCCTAAAGACTGCCTCTTGCTAGATTAATCTGTCTGCCCACTGAGGTCTCTAATGCACATGAAGAAACAAGGCTATTTTAAAATCTCACTGGCTGCAAATAAAGTGGGGACTTTGAGGGTTTTCTGGGGCATGGAGTTTCAGAGTTCTGGCACCACCATCAAGAAATTCCTCTGCTGTGTTACAATCCCATTGCACCTCTCTGCTGTTGTCAGGATCTCCCTTACACAAGAGGGCACCCAACTGTCCTGTAAGACCTATGGGGCGGGGCGGGTGAGAGATATAGGTGGCTTCCTGGTGGAGGGGAAGAGAAGACATTAATGTGCTCCCACTGGGTTAACTTATCTTAGGATCCAACTTTATGTGTACTGTGCTTCACGTCTGGACTGCTCTATGAATACACTCACTAACACATAAATAATTATTTGAAAACTGATCAAAGAGGAAGAATGGTCCAATGCATCTAGATCTTTTTTCCGCACCTGCACACTGCTGTCCTTGGAGTTGCTGGGAGTTGCAGGGTGACGTGGTTCTAGGAAACTGTATCTGCTCTGACCCTGGCGGCTGAAGATATGCTACTGAAGAGCTGTGGAAGACAAGGACGGGAGGATGGGGAGTGGGAAAGCAGAAGAATCAAAAGGATATTAAATATGTAAACTGTTTACCACTGCCAAGATGTTGGAAATTCATGGTGGCTGCTTCCTGCAAAAGTCTGAGCCCAGATCAAACAGTGAGTCCCAGCTAAAGTAGACCCATTTGTAAGTCTACACACCTATATAAAGATTTATCCATTCCCTGCGTTTTAACACTAGGTGGGCTGAACAATTTCTTTCAGGCCCTTGAGTTCAACCTATTAATGGGGACAGGGGCAGGGGAATCACTTATCTGTTCCAGAAACAAAAAGCTAAATACCCACATCACTGCAGGCTCCCACCAGTTTGTCCAAATAGTTAAAGTTGACACACAAGTGACTAATTTTCACTCTCTGTGGAATGAAGAAAGTAGCTGAATCTTCTCTGGACTGAAGTATAACATTACTGCTTTAGCTGATTAACATTCTTGTTTCTTGCTTCAGATGTTATTTCTTGTCTTTCTTTTTTATTGTTCTTTTTATTTTAGTCATTGAAATGAGGTGTAAATGCTCTTATTGTAGGAGAAATGCTTTAAGCTTTGCTTTAAAATTAATAAATTATTTTAAAAAGTGAATCATTTACCTCAAGGGCTAAAAATTAGTGATTGAAACGCTAGCCTCCTTTCCTCACATCTTCCTGTGAATTATTCATAGACTGACTTCTGGAAAGGTGACCAGGCTTTGAAGATTACTATTAATGCAACACATTACTGCAAACTGCTGATTTTTTTTTATTTTTAAAACAGCTTGCAAAGCAAGTCGCACAAAGATCAAAGGAATCCTAGATATAAAAAAAGAAATGATGTAAAGATTACCTGTAGGCAAAAATATACTCGCTGTTTTAAAGAAGTCAGAACTCTACACCAAGGTGACCTCAAATTCCATTTTACTCTGCTGCTTAAAAATAGCTGGAAAGGAGCAAACCAGTTCCCACTCTAGAACTCTCCTTGGAGTCCCTTCGTCGTGCTAACTCCAGCTTGTTTCTGGGCATTGCGTTTCTATTTGCAAACTATTTTACAGGCCCCATTTAAAATATTCTGGCTTGCATCTAGATATTTTCCACTGAAAACGGTCCTCCGTATGGCTACATCAGTTCAAACTGTACTGTTCATAATAAATCTATCAGTATTTCTATAGTTATGGCTCAGACAGATTTGGTGAGTGGTTTAAACATTTCTTCAGCTGGCTGGATAGCTCAAGTGAGTGAGGTATCTGGCTGTGGCATCAGAGGCTGGCAGTTCAATTCCCCACTGCGCATCCTAAAAGAGCCAGACTGTGTGGCTTTGGGCAACCCACATAGTCCCGGGGCATCCCCAGAAGAAGGGAGTGGTAAACCACTTCCAAATACTCTCTACCTAGAAAACCCTGCAAAGGGTTGCCATAACTCAGAATTGACTTGACAGCACACAGTTATTATTAAAAATGTCTTCATTTGCAGACAAAGCAAGTACCTGTAATTAATGAACAGACAATGTACTTAAATGCAACATGACTCTAGGTAAAGGTAAAAGTTCCCCTTGACATTTAGTCCAGTCGTGTCCGACTGTAGGGCGTGGTGTTCATCCCCGTCTCCAAGCCGTGGAGCCAGTGTTTTGTCCGTAGACAGTTTCCGTGGTCACGTGGCAGGCGCTACTAGACACAGAATGCCGTTACCCTCCCACAATAGTGGTACCTATTTATCTACTCGCATTTACATGCTTTCAAACTGCTAGGAGGAATTGGCAGGAGCTGGGACAAACAATGGAAGCTCACTCCATCACGTGGATTCGATCTTATGACTGCTCGTCTTCTGACCTTGCAGCACAGAGGCTTCTGCGATTTAACCTGCAGTGCCACCACGTCCCACAACATGACTCTAGGAAGCTATAATATCCCACTCTGGTGCATATGGGTAAAAAGTAGGCCCAATTTAAGAGGAGGTGGGAACAGAGGGAATTACCACATCTGAGTTGACATTTTAAATGCTAATACAGAGCTGCCAAAGGGACGATGAAGGCAGGATTTGAGGGTAAGCAAAGATCTTCCCATCACAGGAAAAAAAAACAGCAGATCCTGTGATACGTCTGCCTACAGCTTAAATGAGCATTATTCAGGGGACAGGAACACTTGTGTCTGAAATATACTGCTCAGACACAGCAGTTTCTTGAGTATTCCAGTCAGCAACAAACTTCAAAGTTCGTTTTTTTTTAAAAGGACACACACCTACACAAGTAAACAGAGGGTATGTTTATGAGTCAGCATCTCTGTGAAAGCAGGCATGATTCTTTTATGTTCCACAAATATTTTTTTTCTCCTCAAACATCTGGGTGCCGTTTTTCCTATGTCATGTTTACTTCCCTTCTCCTCCATCCTTTAAGCCACACATGTTTATGTTTTATTTTTATTTTGTTTTTATTCGAAAACAAAATCTCAGAATAAAATGTGCATTTGATTTCCCTGTGTGAACATATAGGTGCGTATTTTTCTTAGAAAGAATCTAATATTTACTTACCAAATGTAATAATTTAGCAATATGATAATATTAAAGTGCAAGTCTAAGCTATATTTTCAGAACTCAGAAAGTTCAGCAATGAGAATACCTATGCATGATGCTGAACGGGATCAGTAAGGATTAAAATCCTTACTAAACTTCCAAGAGTACAGCAGCAGCAGCTAGCTAAGCCATGCACATCTGAAGGTATGCTGTAAAGACACTTTATACTAGAGAGAGAGAGAGAGATATAAAAAATTTAAGTGCTTAAAAATCAAAACAACAGCCGTTAAATGTTGTTTGGTCGAACCAGTAATAGATGAACTTCCTGCCTGCAGAATTGCATTCACTCTGTAAACCAGGGCTGAGGAACCTGTGGCCCACCATTTATTTACACCACCCAGCCTTGGTTACTGGTGAAGAATATGAGGAATTAACAGCCTATTAATATCTGAAGGGCCAAAAATTCCCTAACCCTGCAGTAGTAGAATCATAGAAAGTATTCATATTTCTACCTAATTTATTGGTGTCAAATTAACAAGCGCCAGAGATCATATATTCACATAGCTTCCTACAATTTAACTGCTTCTGAACAAAGTTGAACTTCTGTCTCTTGCAATAACAATGAAGAACAAACCAGTACAGAGAGCAGTCTTATGAAGGGCAGGAAGAGTGGAGCAAGGAGTGTTGGAGGAAGCGAGTGTTAAGATTGAAAACCTGACACTGAGCAAATGAAATCTATGGTTGGCCAGCCAGCCAATGTTTTCTGAAACTGTAACAGAATTCTGCTATTTTGCACAAGCACAACACTTCTCAATTTTCATGACTACGGTTGCTTTCCTCTCCCCCTCCCCTTTGTACTGTAGTTACTTGGATCACTGTTGATTTAGCATACAGTTAAAACCTACACTGGTCTAAAAAAACAAGGTTAAATTCACCTTAAATTATTCTGCTGTCCAGATGGAATGACACTGTAGTAAACTGGCATTCCTGATGTGGGTAGTCCTTGGTTAGCCTGGCTGGGAATAACAACTGGCTGCTGATATGTCTGCTGGGAGATTCCTTGGGACCCTTGAGCCATTGAAACCTAAGGATCATAAGCAAATTACGATCACTAATAAAACATATATTTTAAACATGACACATAGCTTGTGAAACTTCTGCTGGAAATACAAGTCTAAAGCAAGGATGGAGTCAAGATATCACCAGTTTACCTAAGTCTGGTATTCAATGAAATGGGGAAAACCAACACTCAGATCGCACACAGAGGTTCACATAAATGATTTCTGCTCCATACAAAATAATTACTTGCATGTAGAAAAGGAATCACAGGAAAGAGTTCATGCCTGGCCTTCTCCCTTGAATCTGTCTTCCTATATGCAGGGAATTCCACCCCTACTGGCAGTCTGAAATGTCTACTTCATCACCAGTGAAACTTAGGTCTTGGTCTTGATCAGAGCTTGAAAAAGTTACTGTTTAGGACTACAACTCTGGGATTCTGAGAGTGATAATTTATGTTTCTAAGTTCTCATCTGGATCAGAGCCTGTGTGATTACAGAGAATTTTCTAAGAACTCTGTCGTCCTGTCACTCCTAATATGCTCAAGAAGATGCTTTTCCTTTTCTTTTGAGCAAGCGCTGCTGTCCACAATCCATCCTCCATACTCTCTGTCTCAACTGTTTCAAAAGACTACAGCTTCTGGTTGCTGGGGATCTAATGGCATACGTGGTCATGCTTGAAACCTAATATTGGTTCACAAATAGCTTTCAAACTCATGCAGCTGTGCCTGGGGAGGCAATCTGCTAAAAAGGTTTCTCTTACATAAAAATGCAAAATAAGATAACTTCTTTAGATAAAGGTAAATAGCAACTTCCTCACTATATAATTCAGACATTTTAGTTACCTGTGCTAGCTCCAGAATTCTTAAATATCAACACAAAATAATATACTGCATCCCAATACCTTACCCTTTCACATAACAAAGGACCACAGTAACTAGAGGTGTAGGCATATGTATTTTTTGGATTACAGTTTTGAGAATTATAGTTCGAAAGGACAAATGAGCTTCCATTAACTCCTTGTAACATCTTATGTGATCTCTGTAAAGTGAACAAGCAAACTTTATCAAGAGATGGGCATGAGCCGCTGGTTTTGCAGAGTTCATGCCAGTTTTGATTTTTTTTTTGGCTGAACAGGTGTTTGACACTTCTCAGCCAGCTTCCTCTAGTGGGCGCCCACTCAGAGGCAGCACTTGGAGGAGGCAGGGTAGCTGAGGTGCTGCTTCTGAGTTAGTGCCCGCCAGAGGAGATGGGCTGAGAAAGTGCCAAACACCTGTATGGCCAAGAAACAAAGCAGCACAAATTGCCAAACCAGCAGGTCATGCTCATCTCTATTTAGGTAAAGGTTCCCCTTGACATTTTCAGTCCAGTCGTGTCCAACTTTAGGGGGCGGTGCTCATCCCGCTTTTCAAGCCGTAGAGCCAGAGCCTGTCCGAAGACAGTTTTCTGTTGTCATGTGGCCAGAGTGACTAGAGAATACCCTTTTATCTTCCCACCGAGATGGTACCTATTTATCTACTCGCATTTACATGCTTTCGAACTGCTAGGTTGGTGAGGAGCTGGGACAAAGCGATGGGAGCTCACTCCATTGCGTGGATTCGATCTTCTGACCCTGCAGCACAGGCTTCTGTGGTTTAGCCCACAGCGCCACCAGGGTTTAAAATGGAGACTAGTAACTGTGAGGTGCTTCTCTCCTCCAGCCCTAGAATTAACCAACCATTCTGTTTCTTAAGCAAGAAGGCTGTGTAAGTTTCTATCCATCTTCTTTTGCAAGTGAACAAACAGTTCCAGTTCTGCTTGGTGGAGCTTTAGTATTTAGAAAATCAATTATAAACAGCTGCAATGACAGAATGATAAATAACAGCTTACTTGATACGATGGCACAGGAGGATATGGGACAAGTACACCTTGGATCTGGTTTCCAATATTGTTGGGTTGGCCACCGACTAGGTTTTGGTTTTGAGATTGCTGGACGCCAACTAAACCCTGGTAGTTTTGCTGCTGGTTAGGCATAACTTGGTAGCCTGTAAATAAATAAATATTATATATATATATAAATGATATATTTTTTTCAAAACTTGTTTTGACATGTTACTGTAAAAGAAAATTTATACCAAGTGCTCTTTAGATAATAGCCACAGCTTTGTTATAGCATCAGAGCTGTTTCCCTGTTAAGTTTATCTTATTCTGCCATAATGTTAAATACCATTATAAACACCAACAGAGACAACAGCCTCCAGAAATGGACTGCCCAGCTTATGCAACAATGGTCCTTCTTACATATTGTAACAGCAGCACTGCTAGATAAAGTCACACACAATAGATACATGGGATGATACTGTTGGGACTGGCAAATCCCCACAATCCACTATTTATTTGTCACACAGCATTCTGCTTGTGTACGTACATCTGTTAAATGTGACTAACAGCTGGTATATTATTTTTATCAAAATTAATGTTAATTGCCATACTGGATTCAAACAGCTTTTCTTATTCTAATCATGACCTATAATTTTAAATGTAAATGTCTGCTGGCATTAAGATCACAATGCTATGAATCCATCAATGTGTTTTTCCTCCCTTGCTATAAGCTATCTCACACTTGTGAGCAATCCAAAACAATATAAATATTATCTGTCTCTGTATATTCCAGTTGATGACCTATGTATACCCAATTCAACATGCGCGAACAAGACAAAGCTCACTGTTCATCTGATTTTTGAAGATTAGCAAGTGAAGTGCATTTATTTGTATGTTAAAATGGTTAAAAGTTTGGCTCTCTTTGTGTTTTAGAACAGTTCTTAGAATACAAAAAGGACCCAGGTCATATTCTTGCAACTATTCCTCCCCAATGCAAGGATCTGCTTACACACTTTCCCATCACTTGGCCCAAAATATCCAGATATTCTACAGAATGGTCTTGGGAAGCTTCAAATGGGCTATGAGAGATGAAACTCACTCCTCTGGAGTTCTCTGGATCAAGAGTATTAGAGGCATCTTTCTATCTCTAACTTCATGCATGCAGTTCAGAGAAGAACAGGGCTAAAAAAAATCAAAGAGCTAAAACACTATTCAGGCAGCAGAAATGACTTACATGGTGAGAGGTTTTAGGATGAACTCATGTGCACAGGCTTTTCACCTGAGCAGAGTCTATTCTGAGTAGCTGTTTTGGCAGGTGACAACTTTACCCTCTCTAGTATGTATGTCCTAGTGCACCCCATTGGTTTTATCTCAATTCTGTGTTCATCACATGGAAGAATAACATATATCAGAATTAACAGAGGGGAAGAGGGTAGGTTGTATGAGTTCACAGATGACCACTCAAGGAACAACAGTTACAGGTAAGCAGCCTGTTCTTTGTGGGCTCTTGTACTAACAAGTACAGTATGTGTGACTTGTTAGTTTGCAGCCAGAGAAGTCTGTAACTCGAAAAGTCTGTAAGTTGAGCCGTCTGTAAGTTGAGGGTCCACTGTACAGGTAAGCAGCCAGTTCTTTGTGGGCTCTTGAACTACGAAGTACAGTATGTGTGACTTGTTAGCTGACTTATCATGCCACTATAGTTGAGAGAGCCATTTTTCCAAGGGAGGCATCTGCTGTAGCACGTTTAAAAGAGCATAGTGGAAGTAGATGTTTTCCCATGTAACAAGCAGGAATAATAGTCCAGACTACCCATTCTGTTGAGAAAAAACAGGGAATTCTTTTCTACATTCTTGGTAGATTTTTTGTAGAGTTCACAGATGACCACTCAAGGAACAACAGTTACAGGTAAGCAGCCTGTTCTTTGTGGGCTCTTGTACTAACAAGTACAGTATGTGTGACTTGTTAGCTGACTTGTCATGCCACTACAGTTGAGAGAGCCATTTTTCCAAGGAAGGCATCTGCTATAGCACTTTTAAAAGAGCATAGTGGAAGTAGATGTTTTCCCATGTAACAAGCAGGAATAATAGTCCAGACTACCCATTCTGATATGTTTTGAGAAAAAACAGGGAATTCTTTTCTACATTCTTGGTAGATGTCTTGCAGCATTCTGAATCATTCAGTCTGATGTATGTCAAAAACTTTTGACCTCTGAACATCTAAGGCCTGAAGAGATATCTTTGAAATAAAATAATTGTTAACACTATATCCTGGTTGAAATGTATAGCTTTGACTACTTTGGGCAAAAAAGTTATGCAGTATCTGATCTCAAAACCACTCTTTTTATAAATACCCAAATACTGTACGGTGGGTCAGAAGAGATAGTCCATAGCTTACTTGCCCTCCTAGCAGATGCAGCAGCTATTAAAAACATGGTCTTCCAAGACTGCAAGTGATAATCTATAGTCACTAGTAGTTCAAAAGGAGACTGTGAGAAAACATGGGACTTAAGACCATACATAAATTATTAAAGATACCAGAAGGATGGTATTATGTAGCTATTTTTTTAATGTTTAATCAAAGATTGGGCAAACAATGAAGAACCTGTCTGGTAGGTCCCTGCTCTAGTCGCCAAGTAAACCTTATGACTATAAGTTGTGGTACCACTGAAGTCAAGAACAGCATACATGACACTTGTATAGATTTGATATATTTCACTGAAAACTTTGTATTTATAGAAGTACATACAAAGGATAGAAAGATTCTGAGAAGCGCTTAAGATTAACTTTTTTATTTTGTGAGAGTACGCAGAGGTGAATTCTCCAGGATATGAGAGGAAGGACATGAGAGAGTCACCTCTTATCCTATGGGAAGAAGTTCAACTGTGCAGAAAGCATGAGGTATATGCGTATTTTTTGCAGTACTATACAAATTTCATTTGGAATACCTTCCTCCCTATCATGATTAGAATAAAAGAAACATATCAAGATGCTGAACCTGTAATCCATTTTCCTCCCAATGGTTTTGTGGGTTATTTTCAAATTAAAACTGCCAGAGTACCTTCAGTGATCAAACAAACTATGCAGGGTAAAATAAAGCCTCCTGTTGTGAAAAACAGCATTAGAATTTAAACTACAGTATATGAAGAATGCATGCACAAAATACAGAAAGTGCTGCAACTCCAAATTTTTCATTTTTCAGGGCTTGCAGCATCGCTATGGAAATTATTTAGTGTCTTCTGGCACTCTTGTGCAGCTGAAGCAGAAATCAATTTTCCACACTGACAGAGGAACTAGGACGATATAAAACTGATTGCTAACACGCTGCCCCACAGGGCTCCAAAGCACATTTCTATTTTTAGCTTCACTATTCCACCTCAGAATACCAAGATACATGAAGGAAACACAGCACTCAGCAAGAAAAGAAGCCAGAGCAGAAGCAACACCTACTGTACTGAAACAGATGGTTTTATTTTCCAGCAGAGCTACTAAAGTGTAGTTTTAAAAAAACATACACACCCTTGTTTGTCAAAACAAAAACGGATCCCACAGACTGTGAACAAGGAACAGGAATTCTGCAGTATTACCTTTCTTCAATTGTAACAATTATAATTACCCTGCTTATAATACCAGGAGTCATGTTGTGTACACAGATCAGTTAGAAAGGAGCACTGCTTTCCTCAATGAAATGCAAATCTCAAGGACAATAGTATTAACGCGAATACACAGGACATACAAAATAGACCTGAAGAAGCCTGTCAAAGATGTTCTTGGTCATAATCTACTTCTGAGCACCATCCCCCCCCCCATATTTTTAGTGATACCTTTGTAAGTACAGGTTTTGCTGAGTATTTTAAGAAGGGAAGAACAGCATATGCTCCTTGATCAGAAAACAACAATCCAAGACACACACACTTGAAACCCCTTTAAAAAGGAAGCTAGGAAGCAGCTGAAAAAGAGACCGGTTCACTGTGAGAAATGTAACCCTCTCAGACAGTGTTACGGCCCCGAATCCAACAGCTCATGAATAAAGCTAAACTATTCTACAGAGCAGTACATATATATTAAGTCTGGTTAATCACAGGCACACATAAAGCCACATGTGTTTACATACACTACAAACAGATATTTTGGCAATTATTTTAACTAATTATGAAATATTAAACTGCAATATAAAAGCTACAGATAATTATTCATGAAAACATTTAACACTCAGGATTTAAATGCTTATTCTCAAGGATGAAGAGGAGACCTCATACTTCAGGACCACCATATTTTGCAGATAATTGGGCATTTCTCTACATCTATCTACGGTATTGATTTTTACTGCTGGATATCTCTCTAAACCACCCATGTCTAACTCCAAGCAATGTTCAAACTTGGCAAGTTTCTCCAGATTTCAGCAGCTTGAACCTCACTCACCAAGTACTAACTGTTCTAGAAGCTTCTATACTATTATTGTAACACATCACTTGCTCCAAACTCTGCCTGTGTTAGGGCACCAGCTTCTCAGAAACACAGCCATTCTGGTACAGTCAGCTAAACTGCAGGCAAGGCGTTTCACAGAAAGGGAGCAGTAAATAACATAACAAGCAATGAAAACTGCTGATCAAAGTGGTAAAGATTTAGGGCAGTGTTCAAAGCATCACGTAACTACTTCTGCACTAACAAAAGAGTTTGTGTCTGCATTCCATTAATGGTAGCCTCCCACAACAGGGCACGACAAAATGTGCCACAAACAAACCAGAAATGGGAAAAAAGGCAGTGGACTATGGTTATAGTGCAAACAGAGGCCCTTAGGAATACCTGAAGTATGTCTAAAGCACTCTGTCAATTGCTTAAGTCCCAAGTGGTTTTATAAGGATATTCATATTATTCCAATTTAGGTAAAGGCATTTCCCAGCAGGTAGCTGCACAGTAAATGGGGCAACAAAAAGCAAGAAGTCTTATGGCACTTTAAAATATAGTAAGTTTTATCTGACATATAGTATAATCGACTATAGCCATTTCCCCCCTGATTTATTTGAAGAACTGTGCTACAATTCACAAAAGCTTACGCCAAAGAAAACTGGTTGGTCTTTTAGGTGACATACTTTGTTCTTTCAGCAAAAGACAGAATTCTGTTATGGACTGATGCCCTATCAACAGTCTGTTTTTAAACATTGTTAAACATTGTATTCGCGAAGGCTGTCCTCTGAAGATGCCGGCCACAGAGACTGGCGAAACGTTAGGAAGAACAACCTTCAGAACACGGCCAAAGAGCCCGAAAAACCCACAACAACCATTGTTAAACATTGTTCAAGAACAACTGCTGACACAGTTCATAAAACAATTTTATTAGAATTCTCTTCTTTTGAATGTGTGTGTGTGCGCGCGCACCCCCCCCACACCTTCCTCAACGTGGCTACAAATGGTCAGTCTGCACAGTGGGTAGCATCTGGCCTTTCAGTTGCCACTATTCTCAGTGTCTTTTCACCTTTGGAGGAGATACTACCTATTATGGCTGCTTTTAATGTAACCACTACAGATTTTAATAAACAATTCATCTGGAATCTGTGTGCACAGCTGGGAAGTGCATCAAACAGTCTTTGTAGTCTAATAACAAACCTACCCCTTACTTGTAGTTTAAATACAAACAAGAGCTTTTTCAGGCAAATCAACACCGGTGCAAGACCTGACCCAAAGAAATCTGAACTATGCCTAAATCCAGGACACAATCATCCTAAGTAGCTAAACCTTTGTTCATCACTACTAATTTACTTGAAAAGAGAACAAAGGCATGCTCACCACCAATATAAGAGTTGACACTGACATAATCAACCAGAATTACTTTTTAATTGAAATAATATTAGCTGTGGGTCCAATGGCAATTTTATATATATTTTAATTGTATTTTAATTGTTCTGAATTTTTATTGTATTTTAAATGTTGTAAGCCGCCCAGAGACCTTTGGGTAATGTGGGCGGCATATAAATTAAATAAATAATAAAATAATAATAATAAAGAGATGAGGCTTTGAAATAAAGCTATGCTTAAGTGAATCAATCAGTCAGTCAAGAGCATTAAGACATACACATATGATGGAGTTTATTTAACTCAAATTGCCTTGCTTGATTTACTTCTTACTTTACGAAAAACTGCCCCTTTCATAGAACACAAGTTTTCCTGGCAACAGACCACAATCTGTAGAATAAGAACGTCAAATGATCTTAAATTACTAGCTAAATAAGATGCAAAGAGAAAAAAAGAATGCACAGAAAATACATTAAATATGGCTGTGATTTTCAGAGTAGAGATGGAGAAACATAATAAACTAAGAGCAGTAAGAAATACTTGTACGTAGGTCTTTTACTTAAGGTAAACTATGATGGAAGGCTCCAGTTTCAGTGTAATTAGCAGCCAACATGAGATGTGAATATATTTAAGCTATGACGAAAATGTTGATCTATGTCAATCTGACACTTTATTAGAAATGCTTTGTATCTCCAAGAATGGACAGATAAGGTCTTCACTAATGTCCTTAACTCACAAAAATAATGTTCCTGTCCTGTCCAGTCACTTGGTATTTATGAAGTTCAAAAGATTTCAAAGAAGAACATAATTCCAATAGATAGGACTATTACCAGCACTTCTAAGCTGAAACATACTGCTTTCTTCATTACAGAGTTTTCAGTTCTTCACATTACCTCCCCCTGAACTGCCCAGTCTCCTGAAGTACATTATTTTGGGGATGAGTTGGGGGATACCACAAACCTGTCTGTTGTGCAGGCTGTGGCAGTGGCTGGTTTTGCTGTGTGTTGTAGTGAACCGAAGTAACTGGCCGATACTGTTGACTGGAGTGCGGATACTGGCCAGGAGCACAGTAACAGGCTGGCATCTGAAAGAGAGTAGCCCAGAGGTACAAATCCAAATGATAACAGATCAAAAGAGCACATAAACATCAAAGCTTAAAAAATAACATGGTGAAAACAGGAACATTGTAATGCTATCAAAAATATTCCTACTCCCTGCATTTTTAAATGAAAAATTAATTGTATTCAGCTATACTATTCATTCAGAAGGAAAAATACAATTGTCTAGTAGTGAAGTAATAGAACTGCTATCACAAATGCAGAAAACTCTTGTATAAGTGTCAACAACAACAACAACAGGTTAATTAAGCATGCTATGCTATGGATGCCTGTTGTTCTCCTTAAAAACAAAAATTTTCATGCTTTCTGCCACCAACAAACTGTTTTAATTTAGACCAACATTTTACAATTAAGCAAAACCTAATAGGTGAACTCCAAGAGTGAAATAAGAGTAAAAGTCTGTATTTATGGAATAAGGTACAGTGGTGCCTCGCTTAGCGATGTTAATTTGTTCCAAAAAAATCGCTGCTAAATGAAATGTGGTTTCCCATTGTAACGCATTGAAAACCGGATAATCAGTTCCAATAGGAACGAATTGCCGTCCTTAAGCGAAAATCGCCATAGGAAACATCGCTAAGCGAAATGCGGTTCCCCAATTGAAATGCACTGAAACCTATTCAATGCATCTCAATGGGGGAAAAATACAACAATAAATTAAAAAAGAGTCAGAACAAAGTCAAATTTGGTTAACAAAGGGTTTATTAAGTGCACTTTATGATTTCAAACATTTTAAACAGTAAACTTTAACTTTATAAATAACAGAAAAACATTTAAAAAACAGCAAACATGAGGCTGTTTAAACCATCGTTAAGTGAAACAAGGGACCCAGAATTTAATTGCTATGCGAAGCATGGTCTCAATCATCGCTAAGCGAAAATCGCCCATAGGGACCATCGCTAAAGGAAGCGCAAAAACACTCTGAAAAAGGCGCCACTAAGCGATTTCGTCGCTAAATGGAGAGCCCGTTAAGCGAGGCACCACTGTATAAGGCAAAATCCTGCTGTGTAACTATGCAGCCATAACTCAACATTGCATCCATAACAGCTATGATAGCACTGAGGTGAAAGTGCTGTCCATGAAGCCCTTCTGCTGGCGTGCTTGGGACACATGACCAATGCTAAATCAAACTGCACAACTGTTTGTTGCTGGGTAAAATGCCCAGCACATTTATGTCGTCATAAAACTATGTTATACTGACATGAACAGGATTTTGTTCGTAATCTTGTTAGAATTAGGAATTCCAATCTATTAAAAGGATTACAGGAACCATACATAGGCTATGGCAGGAAGAGGCAAAGTTTAATTTTTTAAAAATTCCCTGACTGATGTCAACAGCCTTATGCTACCAAACTTACACCAACAGGATTTCATCCAGTAAAAAATAATGGGAACAGACAACCCCATTAAAAGCCAAATCCATCAATGAAAATTCAATCAACAGGTAGCACGAATGGTGTATGAATCCATATTCCAATATTTTAAAGATCTTGTTACCTGTGGCATTGGTTGCTGCATATATCCCTGTTGCTGAAGAACTTGCTGGTTGACAGGGTGGTTGGATGCACTGTAATTAGCAGTGGGAACGGGTGGGCCAGGGGGCGGGGGCGGGGCTGGTGGGGGAGGTGGGGCAGTTGCTATGATAAAACCAGATTGCTGTTGGGGCTGAAGGACAACTGTGGATTGAAACATGGTGGCATGAGGATCAGCAGTATCCCCAGAGGGCTGTCGGGAGAGACTCATATGGCTAAACTGGGATCCTAGGTTGTCTTGCTGTAATCAGAGAAAAACAATAATAATCATTATTCCTCTTTTGAATTAATGTGAAAAGGCAGAGTTGCTTTAAAAAAAACAGCTTACTACTAAACATAAAGTCATGAAGTACTCTCTGACCCTGAGACAATATTAGCAATGAAAGCATCTGACAGAGCTTAGAAAAGTTAACTTTTTAAAAGACAGTATCTCCATAGGCCTGTAGCCACCAAGAATTACAGGAAAAAAAATCACTTTTTTGAGCTCTGCATTTACGTGAAAATATGTTTGATTGATATTAGATATTTTTAAAAAAATCTGTTGTCAGTAGTAGAGTTTGATAATTTTTTTAATTATATGTGAACATTTACTGACAAAGAAACAAAAACTGTGGGGAATTTTTGGAAAGATTTCTAAGAATCTAATGAAGGAGTGGTATAATTTATAGGAAAGAGGAATGGAAAGAGTGAATTTGAACTTGATACCTAGATAAAATTCCACCAGTTCGAACACTGTTCATTTTTTGGACACTGTCCTAAGTAAACTGGATAAAAGTATACCACATACATACACAAGAAAACCACTCATACAGTACAATTTTTTTAAAAATTGATGGTCTCACTACACTGTAAGGCATTGTTCACTGAGGACCTGCTTTTTCCACCTTGTACTAGACCAGACCTCCTAAAGTACTTCTCTAAACTTGCAGGACTCCATTTGCAGAGCATGCCTATGGATATTTTCTTTGATGGCATTCCCACTTAATTCAATGCTTACCTAGTCCCATGTAAGCATAAAAGGGACTGCAAACTGTTTGTGAACAAACTGCTGCTGTTATGCCAGGTCTTGTGCCTTAAGAATAAAGGAAACACCATGCTAGATCAGACCCATTGCCTGACTGGTTCAGCACTCTAACTTCACACTGCCCAACCAGTCACTTATGGCAGGAGTGAGAATAATGCCAGTCCATGCAGGTTCCAAACAGCATACAATTTATAGAAGCTCCTGTGAGCTCCTTCGCTGGGAGTCAAAATCTGGCCCTAAAATGGAAACATTACTGTTCCTGGAAGCTTCAAGAATGGCAATTCTCTTTGAAAGCAAGGGGTTCTTTCCAACGGTTTTTTTTGGGGGGGGAGGAGTGAATGAAAAATCTATATTTTTAGATGGCTTGTGGCAAGACCAAAATTAGCCCCTGGACCTTTCCCACAGCAACCTACAAGAAGCATAAAACAGGAGATGGACGGAGAAGCATGTTCCTATTTGCAATCCTCAGCCATGACTGTTTCAGAGGCATCCTGCCTCACATCATGGAGGCAAGATTTAGCTATAATGATTTTGCAACCAATGGTAGTATTTTCCTCCACATTTCCTTTTTAAAGTTGCCTGTCATTGCTATAGCCCGTGGTAGCAATTTCGACAGTTCCACTTTCATGATTCTGTCCTGTGTCTCTTACCACTCAGCTGGATGATTCTGAGTCCCTGTATAAGTGGAGAAATGCTTCTCCATATCCACATTTCTTCTACAATATGATTAATTCTGTCTACTGTACATTCCATTAATTTCCCCTTCTTCTCAGCTAAGTAGCTCCAAATGCTGTATCTTTCCACCCTGTGGGAGTTGTTCCCACCCTCTGATAACCTCAGTTCCTCTTTTCTGCACAAAAGTATAAGATGCTAATTCTTTAAAAAGTGGAAATTACAAGTTAGAGAACCTTCAATTCCTCTCATCCTACTCATTTCCCTCATATAAATATGCATCTCCACAGCAACACTAACATATGTGCTTATTTTAAATGATATAGATATTTAACATGATCACTGATTAAGAATAAATGTCAAAAGAATGCCTTATTACTGAATTTAAATAACATCAGACTCCAAGACAAATATCATACAGTTTAGTTATGAAAGACATTTTTAGAATACCTCCTAAATGGCAATATACTGGAAGCAAACTGGACAAGTTTTTATTGAGTTATAGGGCCTGCTAGACCGTATCAAACACGTATCTAGTCTAGTATTCTTTTCCCTGCAATGGTCAATCACAGTGGGAAGCCTGCCAGGAGCACATGAAAGAAACAGACTTTACTGCTACTGTCCTGCAGCACCTGGTGTGCAGGGTCTGGGTACCTCTGATCCTATAGACAGTAGAAGGCCACAAGGACTAGCAGCCATCTTGATTAGTGGCTGCATTCATGACCCTCCAGGGACCTGCCTGGTCCTCTTTCGAAAGCCATTGAGACCAAAACGTGTACGTATCTTCCCAACTTGCTGTTCACCCAAGATCCTCCTTTGAGCAAGCTGAATAACTTGCAGCAAGGAGAATCTTATCTTGAGAAAGGAAGTTCAGCATCTGAGTCTGAGGAATACAACCAAGCTAGAAAGCTTAAAATCCAAATGTAGACAAACTCCGGTTCCCTGTATAAAAGTCCAGCAGATAATGTTTTATTTTAAGGGAAGATGACACAAAGTAAAACACCTGGGTGCAGTGGGGGAAGGTCAGATGAAGAAACAGCCAGGGAAGGCTATACTTTCCATTAATTCACAATAAAGCCTACCTTCTCCCTTTGACTCACTTTTGTATTCCTGTGACTGTCGAGATATATTTGAATAATGAAGTCAGTCAATAATTATTTTGCGCATAAACACCCCACACATAACAGCTAATCTAGCAAAGATTCTCTCATGCACAGAAGAGATGAGTAGAAGATAATATACCACAGTATATTGCTGGGTAGATGAGACTGGCAGGAGCGGGGGTGGATAAGTGACTGTGGAGAATTGAACAGGCTGTGAAGAAGGCTGAAGAGGTCGGATAGGCTGAAGAAGTAACAGTTGAACATACACAGTTAACAACAACCAAGCAAGAAGAAATGGAAGTGGGAATATTACTTTTTGGTTAAATAAATAAATATATAAAAAGATACAGCATCCTCCATATTAACTATTTAACCGGATATACGATTAATGCAAGAGTCAGATTACTGGGAATGCACCAAATAATGGACGTTAAAACTCAACAGTAAATAACGAGCATCTATCTAGAACCATGATTACTTCCTACCTTTAAATGAAGTTGCAAAGCATAAGCAAAACAACAAATTTATAATGTTCTTAACATTTAAAAATGGAACACATGCACACTTAACTATACTAGATTATCTTGTTGCTTTAGGAAAACACAGCTTTCTTGACCAAAGTGTGTCTTCCAACTTATAAAGAACAGGCAAACATTTATTCCACAACACATTTCCACAACAATCTACCATTTCCTCCTCATCAGTTGGCAAGAGCATTCAGTAAAGCATTGCATATTTGACATGTGCACCTGTGATAGGATGTGATTGGCTGCTGGCTGTTGCTGAGGTTGCATGGGAGGTGGTGGCGGCTGCTGAGAAGGTCCAGGCACTTGGTTTCTAATAGGTTGTTGAGACATAGGAGGATTATACACAACTGGAGTGCCATCTGGATTAATGAATGGCTGACCTAGAAGGTGAGAGGTGACAGTACAAATTTTGCTGACCAATGCAATTTACTAACAAACTGCAACACTGTCCATTTAACAAAACCTAAACTGTATCATGGATGACATCTCAAGCAAACCAGTTTCACAGCAATGCTAAAACACACTTCAGTTTAATTCATCATTTCATTTTTTCCCCTTTTCTTTTCTATAATAGTGGGAAAGCTAAGAAAAAGGCTGAAAACCTCCCAAGTGATCTCCCATTCAAACATTTCTCAGGTTAGATACTGCTTAGCTTCAGAAGTGGAATCAATATAATAGGCCTTCAGGTGGCTCTCAACAAAAGGCAGTATAAGAATGCACTCTATCCATTTCCAACCTATGGAACAATCTGGGCATTACAAGAAGGAATTTAAATTGTAAGCCAATTTTAGCCATTTTGCCTGCCACTTCTACGAGTACAGTAATAATGTTTTATTTTAAAACATAGTGACCAGAATCTTGTTCATTAGTCATGGTAGCATCAAGCGCTATGGTGGAGGTGGTCACAATGAATTGTCACTGGTTATTAAGTTACTGCTTGTATCCCTTGTTGTCTGAACTGGTGTGCAACAAGGGATATTAGTAGCAGTTAAGAGTGGCAATGAGCTGCTGTGATTTCCACCACTGCATTTGCCCTGGAATCACTAGCTGTCATAATTCTGCTCAGGACGAACAAGAACCCTCCACAAAGCAGAGAAACATAATTTAATATGCATCTTCATTATTACCCATCATTTTTACATCACCAGGTACCGATATATAATTTTAATGAAATTCTCTGAGGCGTTAAAATACACGCTCCTTGAAAATTAAGAGATAAAGTAGTGGGGAGGGAAGGGGGAGAAAGGCAAACGCTCATTTGTGGTGTCAAAACATTTCAAACACATCATTGCAAATTTATTAATAAAAGAGGGACATCCACAACTGGATACCAACCTGTTTGAGGATTGATCAGAATACTTCCAGGTGGTATGCCTGCCGCTTCCAACGGAAGCAAAAAGAAGCTACTGCTAGAAGGCGCCACTTGGCCACTTATGCCACCGTCAAAGGAAAGAGTACTACTAGTGCTGACAGTTGGATAGACAGCAGATGTGCCATGACAAGGCTGGCTGAGAGCTGTGACTGGAAGAGGCTGCTGGGTGTGAGAAAGAGAACCCGTGGATGACCCTACACTACTAGAAGACTCTGAACCTAGGAAAGGAGTAACGAGAAATGGATTTTACCTAGAGATAGAATAATATCATGCACATTTAAATATGCAGGTTGTCATTCAAAGGCTTACCCATTAAACGCACAGCCTGAACTATAGCAGCTCCCCCCTCCCACCACCCCAAAGCAGCTTTTCCCCACTTGAAGAGTTGTGTCCGCTACCAACATGCCAAGCGGTGAGAACGAGGGCCTCTCTTCAACTATTCTCACCTTTGCCCAGGTCTTGACCCTCATGCCATGCAGAGAGCACAATAAAGCAGAAAGGCAACAAAACAGTGTTTGCATACATCACAAAAAATATCTAGGCAATGAAAAAGCAGGCTCAGGCAACCAAAAGCACAACAAGTCTTCAAAGGAGGACCCCACAAAATAATCCCCAAGGCCCTGAGACGCACAGCCCAGGAGTTTATCTACTGAATCATCAGATAGTAGTACTGTCAGCAAAAAGCCAATCCTATAGGCAGAATCAAGCCTACACTAAGCCACAATGATTTAAATGGGAACAACTCGTTCTCAGAACGGGACCTGAAACAGGTGAACACAGGCTAATTACATCTGAAGCTGTTAACAAGCTGTTAAAGAATGCTAGACGAGACAGACCTTTATCTGATCCAGTAAGGCACCCACAACAGTCTTCAATAAAAGAAAAACGAAACAAAACAAACCCACAAACAAACAAACAAAAAACCTAAGGAGCCTCCAGAGCTTGGAAATCATGTGTTAAAAATTAATTTATTCCCCTTATTTGTTAACATGTTCAAGAAACCTAAATTTGATTATATTAATCATTGAAAAATTGTTAATTTTCTTAGTAAATACTAATGTTTGACATTATTTTAATTCAGTACTTTTAGGACTAATTATATGTTTCTTTGCCATTTTGGGCCACTTTTAGCCAATTTATATGTCTTTTGATTAATAACTAAACAATTACCAGATTTATTAGTAATTTCCATAATAGGTAGACTTCATGGTATTTCCTTAATGGTTTAGTTTTAATGACATTTTCTATTAAAATGTGTTAGTGCTAATACCTATGTTTTCATCCATAGAAATATCTAACATAGACTGAGTCTTAAAAGTGGAGAGATCCTGAGTCTTATCAACTCTTGCTTTGCAAACTGATCCCTCCCTCCCTCTCATACACACATTCTCTCTCTCTCTCTCTCTCACACACACACACACACACACAGAGAGAGAGAGAGAGAGAGAGAGAGAGAGAGACACAAAATTGTTTATACACAGCAGGTTGCTGTGTTTTATTTCATAATCATGAATACCCGCTAGGATGTTCAGCTTGAAATAAATGTTTATATTCTAACCAGAGTTTGCAAAAGTCGTTTTTTTGGCAACAATGCCCAAATATGCAGCTGGTCTTGCTAGGTGGGGTATTCTGGGAGTTGTAATCTAAAAATATAAACTTTATGAACTCTGATCCTAAATGCTTAAACTTTATGAACTCTGATCCTAAATGCTACCATTGGCTAAAATATTACTAGGGCCAGCAATGCAGGCCCAATATGAAACCATGATCAATGTTAAACAGAAAACAGTAGCTGTCTTTTAGAAAACATGGAAAAGTCTCCAGGTGTATTGCTGAACCTGTAACATTAAAATCCTAGGTATACAAATGGATCCAGGACATTTCACACTTAAAAAGCCACAAGTAACGACAGCAGAATGAACATCAATAACATACACTGTATTCTTGTCACAATGTAAGATCAGTTGAAAAGACTGATGCTGAGATTCAGTGTCAGCTGGTTTATTCACATTTAGGCTCTGGCCGAATAAGACTGAAAAAGTTAGGTGTAAAAAAAAATCTTTAGTCTTACCCACCTGCTGAAATGTGGAGTACAGAGGACATGGAACCCTGTGAAATGCTTAAAGAAAGGTTCCATGAAGGGGTAAATGAATGTTCAAACAGATCATTTGAACACAGTCTCGTAAATATCCAAAGCCATCTCAGTCCCTCAACATCACAAACAAGACAATTCTTCCTTGACAGTATTCCATCACTGTCAAGTGAAACCACAAAGAAAATTTGGTTGCCATGCTCTTATGTTCCATGTATTTAGGGATCCTAGAGTTTAGAAATGCTAGAAATCCACAGGATTCAAGAGCTTTTGTAAAAACTGTAAGACTTGAAAAAGGGATCTGGTAATTGACTTTAAAAACTGGGACTTTTTATCTGAAAAAAAAAATGATCTGGAGACCATATGCATTCCTAGGAGGGAAACTGATTGGCCCTCTAGCTAACAAATAATAGTGTTTCCACATCACCTTCTCAAACCAGGAAGGATGCAATTTTCTGCTCTCAGTCAGGTTATCATCCTAAGCATCCATAAATAGCTTCATCTGCATATCAGTTCACTTCAGCATGAGCATATTTCTCATACATCAGTTTCATCAAGTTAAATTAACATTTAAATCATCTGTAATACAAAACCTTACATTCAGAAAGGTCAACTTAAGGGCTGCTTTTACTGAGACAGTCCATGGGTTCATTTAGCTAGTACTATCTAGTAGCAGTTTCCCACAATCTTGCATCACACCTAAAGACTTTTAACAGAGGATTGAACACTGCATTGTATACCCAGCCCTAATGAACTACAATCTCACACCTCAATCAGTCATAAACACACTAGTTATAATTGTTTCACTGGATCACAGAGGCATCTTGGACTGAAATGAGTTATAAAGCCCTGTGTATACATCAGGTTGAATACAAATGCCAGCTCCCTACATACAGAATCCAGTCATTACCTGAAAACCATTTGTATTGGTCCATAAACCAAGAAATTCCGACCCAGTCCAAAGGAACTGGTTTCAGTAATCATCCACAGAATCCCCTGGTTAGTCTAGGAACAGACTTAATACTATTTAATAAATGTTTCTGATCTAAACCCCAGTTGAGAGATCTATTGTGGTATTATAGAGGTAAGTAATATACTGCTGGCAGAACAGTTCAGTGAGTTACATATCTGGATGGGAATAGTAAATAACTTCTATGGATTCTATACTTAGAAAGCCATGTAAAGAGCCTACGTTAAGTCAAAACTGACTTGATGGCACAGACTTATTATTTAGCAATAAAGTAGGACGTGCATTCCTTGAATAGGATGCATTAAATAGGCAACATATATGTTATATTTCAAGCCTACCTTTCCCTATCTCATTAGCTGATCCTGATCTGACTCTGTTCAGTGAAATGCTACCAGATTCCTTGCCATTCCTGAGGCCGTTTTAAAGCTGTACAAGAGCATTAGTCTGTAACCCATGTTCTAACACTGGGGAGAGGGGGCAGCCTCTGATCCTCCAGATATTTCACACCTGGAGAGCCCCCAGCAATGGCCGGGGGTTATTGGAGTTGCACTCCAAGGGCAAAAGTTCCTTAACTCTGATTTAATCCTGTAACTTGTATTTTGTTTATCAAAGACTCAAACACTAATCAGTGGCAATGGGGTAACCGCTGTCCTTTATCCCAACTGCACTAAACAGCAGACTTTGCTTTGTTATCCTGTATTAAACAGATTTGCTCGCTAAAGATTTTCCTTACAGTTGTATCTATAACTGAACAAAAAACAAGCAAAACAAAACAAAGCACACTAACAGAGGAGGGGCTACATTTTGCAAAATGTGCTAATTTTCTGCCTGCATACTTAAAAGATGCACACTAGCTGCCCACTGACCCCATCATACCTGTCTTAGAGAGCCTGCCAGTGCTTTTGCTGCTTCCAGTGCTATCACCTCTTGTCAGAACAGAGATCCCACTGAAGCTGCTGGCTTTGGTCACAGCAGGCTTCAAATTACGCAGGGAGCTGTCAGAATCTGTGCTGCTCCATGGACGGGGTTCAGAATACTTTAGTTCATTGTCTGTACTGCTCTGAAGGCTGTTGGTCGACCTCCCTGAAGCATCCTTATTAACCCTGCAAAGTCACAAGTTAGCTTTTAAAACACAGGAACAATCTGCAAATCAAGGGAAAGAAAATAATAAAACATACACAGAATGATTTAGAATTTTAAAAAATGAACATATTCAATACCTAAATATTTGCCGCCTTTGCTGGGTACTACTGCCATCTTCTTCTTGAATTCTGTTGACATGTCCAGTAAAAGAACAACTTAGTATTTCATTAGAAAAAAGCACAAAATAATTTGTTTAAATATTAATTTCTCCTACCTTTTGTCAATAATGTAATTCTCTTGGGAACACAGCGACTAGGGAAGAAATAGCGTAGAATAAAAATCACCATTGCTAACTATTTGTACTATCAATTCTAATGTGTCAGAAACTGAGAGAAATATACAAACACAAACAGGTATGAAAACTACTGGCAAGCTTTTTTAAAAATAATTTTTATTGTGCTAATTCAAGAAAATTAAATTATTAAAGTGGAGAAAATGCCCCCCAAATAAAAAACCAGAAACAAATTCCCTCTTTTTAAAAGAGGGGGTGGATTCTGCAATTTTTTCCTATGAAATTGTTATTAGGTAAAGGTAAAGGTTCCCCTTGACATTTAGTCCAGTTATGTCTGACTCTAGGGGGCGGTGCTCATCCCTGTTTCCAAGCCATAGAGCCAGCGATTGTCGGTAGACAAGTTTCTGCGATCATGCGGTCAGCACGACTAGACATGGAATGCCAACATCCCTGTTTCCAAGCCATAGAGCCAGCGACTGTCAGTAGACAAGTTTCTGTGGTTATGCGATCTGTACAACTATACACGGAACACCAAAATTGTTATGACTGCTCTTCTATTCCAGGCCCTCCCCACAACCGGCCAACTCTGATAAACAGATGTGACCTTTTAACATTTTACCAGTAAAATTATATTCACTCTTGTATAAAATAGTTTGTCAATATTCTGAGAATGCATTTAACTTATTTTGCAAATAGTGAGGTGGGAAATGAAATTTATCTCTTATTCCGAATGGTTTGCACTTTGTATAATCTTTCATTTATGGGGAGCTTTCTAGAGTTCTGGGTACACAGGGAGAATAAGAAAAAAAAAGCAGGTGTCAACCCATTCGCATCTCAGCAGCTCCCCCCATGCCAACCGCTGTCTTAGACGGCAGGTACATGAATGTCCCCAAGCATCTAAGGCTGTGTATTTGTGGAGCAAGTGGGATAGAGGATGTTGTCCACTATTTACTTAACTGTCAGCTCTATCAAAACCCCAGAGAAAAATTCCTGGGTAACATTTTGGCTGCTCTACAGGAGGAAAGCCCTCAGACAAAGATGGTCAGGTTGCTTTTGGATTGTGACCCATATATCACTTACGGAAGAGCGCTGTTTGCAAAAGCGGCCAGAAACATTCGCGCTAATTCCCTGAGAGCCATTGCAATCAATTGTGCGGGAGAGTCCCAGGTATGAACGGTCTCTTATTATTTTATATCTCCATGATTTTATTCTGATTTTATTTGATTATATTTGTATTTTAAACAATTGTGACGGCTTTTAGCTAATACAATAAGCTTAAACTTGAACTTGTGTTTGCAAAAGCGGCCAGAAACATTCGCGCTAATTCCCTGAGAGCCATTGCAATCAATTGTGCGGGAGAGTCCCAGGTATGAACGGTCTCTTATTATTTTATATCTCCATGATTTTATTCTGATTTTATTTGATTATATTTGTATTTTAAACAATTGTGACGGCTTTTAGCTAATACAATAAGCTTAAACTTGAACTTGGGTACAAAGGTGTGGGGTAGTTTGTAATCCAAATTAATTTAAAAAAAAAGCAGGTGTCACCCCATTCGCATCTCAGCAGCTCTGCCTTGACCCCAATATTAGGGGTATCATTGGGCTCAAGCAAACCTCTCGTTACACTCAGAAATCTGTATTACCATTCACTCTGCATTGATTGGGATTCCAATGATGAATTCAAATAACCGGTACCCCACTATTCACGTGGGAGAAAAATGTCCTATCACTTGGAGGAAGTAAACCTTTTAGAACATATAGCACTTTATTCAGCTGTTATATACCCATTTACTGTCACTAGAGCTAAAGGGAAATTATCTCATTCTGCCTCCTCTGTTTCCAGTGTCACTGCTCTCCTATACTTGGAGAATGACAAGCCTGAAAATATGAATCTCTACTGTTCCTGTGAATCTGGATTCTGATTTTACAGGGCTCCAAGTTTACATGGAAAGACCCAACAAACAGTGTAGGATCTGTGTCTTCAGACCTATCACTCTCTACGTGTAACAGAAAAAGCAACGGTAGAAACACTAGGGATGGGGCTGCAGAGCTCCCCTCCATCCACAGTAACTGAAAACAATTAGATAGTGCCTGATTAGTCACTCTCTACGTGTAACAGAAAAAGCAACAGTAGAAACACAAGGGATGGGGCTACAGAGCTCCCCTCCATCCACGGTAACTGAAAACAATTAGATAGTGAGTGCAGTTACAAAATATGGAAGACTCCAACAGATATATGACTATGATGTGAGCAACAGGGATGGAAGTTTTGGATTACTTGGACTACAAATCTCAGTATTCCCAATTCTGAGAGTTCTACTTGGCTTACACACACTTTTGGACTACAAATCTCAGTATTCCCAATTCCGAGAGTTCTACTCAACCTGGGAGAAAAGGCCTAAACTGGAAGGCTTTCAGGCTTAGCTAGCCAGCACCACCTAACCTCCTGTTCAGAAAGCTCCCAGCTATCACTGGGGCATGAACAGGAAGCTTGGATGGAAGGCTTTCAGGCTTAGCTAGCCAGCATCACCTAACCTCCTGTTCAGAAAGAAAGCTCCCAGCTACCACTGGGGCATGAACAGGAAGCTTGGCTGGAACTAGGTCTAAAGTCTTACAGTTAGGCCATTTCTCCCAGGTGAGAAACATGTAAAGTGTGTGTAAATCAGATAGACCTCCAGGAATCAAGAATTATAGAATTTCTATAAATTTCCCTCCAGTCATTACTTGAATTTTTTTCTTTTCCCCATCTTGTGCCATATTACTATAGTTGTTTTTTTTACTTTATTATATTGCTTTTATTCAATTTTTTAATTGTTAGCTGCCCAGAGTATACTTTGGGCTAGGTGGGTGGGGTATAAATCAAATAAACAAACAAATAAAATAAATTCTAGTCCAAGAAATCAAAACAATCTCCATCCTAGTGAGCACATAGGTTTCTGATCCAACTTTGACAAGTGTAAAAAGAGATATCATTAACAAACATCCTTTCCTCGAGGATTAAATCTACCAGCATCTCAAAGAATGGTGAGAGTATCAAGGCTACCAGCAAAAACATACCATTTTGAGATTAAGAATACCAAGTGGCACGCTGCTCCATCTGCCACCTTCTTAATATTCTCTCAGCGCCCTGCTGAATGTCAGCATTGTAACAGGTTTTTATTTCATACAATTTGTATCAAAATGACAGAAAATCCCTTTTCAAGTGTATGTTCTAGTTTCACCACTGTCACACAGTCAAAGATGCTATGAACATTCCTTGTAATTAAATACCTACATCTTGTGCAAATATTCGTTCTCTAGCTCTCAGGTATTCTTCTTCTCGTTCTTCTATAGATTTGCTTCTTCTGTCATCTTTTAATCGTATTCGCATCTAAATTAAATAAGTTGTTAATTGCCAATTTCCACTGCACCATACAAGTGTGTAGTCAACACAACTGTGTAAGTTCAGCATTTACCTGGTTGTCATCTTTGTCTAGACTAGAGTTCTCCCTTTTTAGGATGTACCGCTTTTGAAAATCTTCACTTTTTTCATCTTTTATATGTTCACAAAACTTCTGGTCAGGTCTTAAAAGAAGATTAAGATAAAATAAGCCTTGATAAATATGAAATGAGGTTGTCTAAAATTGTGGACCTTTAAATTAGTAGACAGTAGAAATGGCCACAAACCTTGGTTTGAAGGTTCATGCCAGTTTTCCCTTCTCCTGCCTCCCTGGCCAATGATCCATTCACCGGTTGGAGCGCACTCCTCTCCTCCTCCTCTTTGGCTGTTTGACCAGTCAGTCCCTGGCAGGAACACGGGCTTATCTGTCCTGCCTCCTTGTCTAAGTGGACAATCAGCCAAGGAGGTGGGGCAAGGAAGCCTGTGTTCCTCCTGGAGACTGGTCGAACAGCCAAAGAGGAGGAGGAGAGGAACGTGTGTCAGGTGGTGAGTCAAGCCAGAGAGGTGGGGGGGGAAGGGAACACATGGCACCTTTGGTGCTCTGGGTATGAATCAGCACACACTTCTGAACCAAGATTCATGCCCACCCAGTAAACTTCCTATGTGTGCAAGTATCACAAAACCACATTTTCCCAACAATCCAAATTTATATTTATATATACGGGCCACTGCTCTTGCCACAAAAAAAACCAGTATCAGAATGCTCTGTAGAGCTTCTCATGACTCATACTGAATAATTCTCAAGAGAATTAAGATACGTATTCTCAATACTATCAGAATTAAGGTAGTTTTTAAGGGATAGAATGGTCACTCATTCACATATTTCAAGTAAGTTCCCTTGGGGTACCCTGATGCTGCTCAAATGTTAATAATCTTAAATACAAGTATTTTGAGAATAAAGTGAAAATAGAGCCCATCACAAACACAAATCTGTCATTCCAGTTCCTCCTGCTGGCCTCACTTGTAGCTGTAGTAATAAAGCCAGAACATAGTGACATCTCATCGAAACCTCTATTACTGGGTTGTACTTTTGTTTAACCCTTGGCTAACAGAAAAATTACTTAAATGGAAATTAGTACTGAAAGCCAAAGAAATAGAAGAATACCATCTGTGCATATATTTTAGGGACCAAAAGGTGTGCAGGTGCCTGTATTTCAGGGGGAAAATAATAAAACTTTGTTGTTCAAATTAAATCATAGGACCCTTTCCCATTCAACATTTAAACACCTGTGCTAAATGACACAAACTACCCCTTACATAATTAACCCTTTTAAAGCTGAAAGGCAAATACTCCCTATAATGTATGAACTTTTGTTACATATTTATCTTGTTTCATTTGTTATTCAAGAGATTTGCTTAAAAGCAGGGTCAGGTTAATTTTTTAATTCCTGAATTGTATTATTATCAATCAAAAAACCAAATCTCCCAAACTCTACCTAAAAGTTACTGGATGCCCAAGTGTAATTAGCAGGCACTTCACAGAACCTTTATAGACTGTCTTACCTCTTTTCTTTTAAAGGTCCCTGAATTTACTGCCCTGCAATCACCACTCCATTGAGTCGGCCCCAGTGTGCACTGGGTTGATGATGTCATTAACAGCACTGATCGGCACTGGAGCGGGGAATCTGCCTATGAGGAAAAGGCAAGTTGGGTTTTATTCAATATGGAGCAGATCTCCAAGGTTTTCCTTCTAGATTCTTATTTTAAATCATTTGAGATATAAAATAAGAACACCGAAAACCTTTAAAAATATTTACATAGTCTACTGGTTATATGAAATGCCTGCTAATTGTTAGTGGTGCTTCCAGATTCCAATCTTGGGTTTAAAAAAAAAACAAGAGTATCAGATATTTTCATACTAAAGGAGTCAACTGCAACTATAGCTCATTCTCAAACCTCCCGCTCCCAAAACTGTTCATCACCCACATGTGGAAGTTACCTGTTTAATTAAGAGACAGACAATCTTAGGCAAAGTTTAGCAAGCAAATAAATATCACATTTTACTTGGGCTATCACATTTTGTCAGTGTGCCAATTTTAAATCTAATTCACTTTTAATACAGATTTTCCTGAGCTCTTGTTCAGTTTTATAGTCTTAAAAAGCGACCTGTGTAGATTAGGTATTCTGAAGAATTTTTTTAAAAAAACTAAAGGCAGAATTTCCCTTATTAACTACCTGACCCTGCTTTTCTGCTACAATCCTGAGAAAGTATAGTTAATAAACTGAATATACTGTACAAGCTGAACATGTGCTATATATTATCACAGGGATCTACGTATTCGTAATTTTACTGTTTCCCAAACCAATAATCTGTGACTGAGCAATCAAATTGTGTTTACAAGTAGAACTTTCTTTCTCTGACCAAAGATAGAAATTAAACTTTAAACTATGAACAATGGTTTCTGACTTCTTAAACTGGAAAAGATGCAAGGAAAGTTCTGTATATATTACAGCTCTCTCCCTTATACATAAATGACCTTTGCAAGTCTTGCGCTGTCGCTCTTTGAATGACCAGGCCAATCTACATGGGAAATAAAGATTTCTTACCCTTGCCCTCACTCCCAATACAAAATGTGCAAACCCTCCAGAACAGAAACGCACCTAGGCAAATCTCCTATAAGGAAGCAACAATCTGACAATTTGTTAATCTTTCTGCACAACATTTTGGTCAAGTGAAATAGGAAGAAAGAGAGGAAGGCTATATTTTTAGTACTCTATGTCAAACGAATTTGATTTTATAAAAATGATTTTAATTATCAGGCTTAATATATCTCCTTTGCTTTTTATTTCTACAGTTACCATAGTTTAGAAATAAATCTCCACACAGAGACACCAACAAAATGGAGAATAAACAATAGTGAGACATTTCTACATAAATATATAATGGTTTCAGCTAATTTTTCTCCATAACAAGAAAGAGATCTTTGCTGATCATAATTCTGACAGAATCACTGGCATGTTTCAGCATGGTGAAGAGATGACACAATCATGTTTTAAGGATGATCTCTAATGAATAAAGTAAAAAATACTGTATATATCTTTTTTTGGAAAAAAAAATCTTTCAAATTCTACCTTGATCAGCAAGCTAAAATTTCCATCCTCCAGAGAACTAGACAGCTTGATGAACTAATTTTGTTTTTTAAAGAACCTAACTTACATTCTTGTGTTGCTGGTTTTATTTACTATAACAGCCTTTCCGCTCTGGTCCACATTGTGCTCCAGTCCAAAATAAGCAGCCACTCTGTGTAATAACATTCTGTGGTAAGAGGTCATGGGGGGAAATTTCTTTCGTGGGATTCTGAAAAGAAGTAGTGAGGTTTAGTTCACGTCAATGTGACTACATAATATATAAACTAACAAAACTAACAGCACTTACTCGTTATTACCAATGAAATCTAAGATTTCCTGTTCTAATTTCAGCAGCATCATTCTGTCCCTGGAAGGAAAAAATATGGAAAGGGGGTGGAGAAGGAAATACTTGCAGTTACAGCAGTAATAGGGATATTAAGCAAGCACATAATTATTTCGAAAAAGATTCCCCTAGATCTCAGGTTTGTGAGAAAATACAACACTAATATGAAATGCACACTTCACACGGCTGAGTACCACACTGATCTCGTTTCATGATAAACAGCTGCTCAGGTGCAAGCAATCTGTACACCAGAAAGACAGCTGTAGTAACCCATCCTGCAAATTGTAGGGGGCAAACAAGATACCCCTTGAGCATTCAATGGCAACAAATAAATTTGACATTTTTGAAACCTTTTGTTGTTGTTTAGTCGTTAAGTCGTGTCCGACTCTTCGCAACCCCATGGACCAGAGCACACCAGGCTCTCCTGTCCTCCACTCCCTCCCGGAGTTTGGTCAAATTGAAACCTTTAGTCCTGTCTAATTAAAACACCAGACTATCAGATGTCTACCATATGTAATAAGTAATAATATGTAATAAGTTTTCAATGGTTGAATGAGATTGAATTCAGATACCAGTTTTGGTAAAAAGGTGGCATATGGATAAAGAACTACTTTCTTCTTGTGGACACATGCATATACAGTAGTGGATCACGTCTCAATGCACAAAGCTCACTGGCTCCTCAGAGAGACATAACTGCAATCCAAAAAGCAACACCATCACCACAGGTCCAAACGGCCAAGAGATCAATTACATCATCCTCAAAGAAAGCGACTAAGATTACATGTGTGTAGATTTAGGTGGACTCAAGTTATTAAATTCACACAGAAATGACCACTCGAATGGGTGTCAGAAAAGCAAAGATGACGAAGGTATACAGGCAATTCTCCTTTAAATGTTATCATTGTCATGATCACCATTAACTTATAACTGCAGTGCTGAAAGGGACCCTATGGATTACCAAGTCCAGTTCCTGTCAAGGACCTAGATACCTACACCACTGAGTGATCCAAGAGAAGAAGACTCAATTGTGGCTCCTTGCAAAGTTTACAAACAGGGTCTGCTTGTAAGCATACAAATGTCAAGTATATGGCTTTCTAGAAGACTGCAATATAGGTAGTATAGGGGGCCAACACAGTAATGGTTGACATATTCACATTGTTAGCTTCAGTTTGTCTTCTCAATGCCTTATTCAGTCTTCTGGCTGCATAAGAGGTCTGTTGAGCTAGTTTGAACAAGTCCTGCCAGGACAGCAGGAGCTCTGCTGCAAAACACAGCTATGAGGCCACCATAGTGTGCTTAGTTCTGCATTTCCTTTGTCCCCCCCCCCTGAGTTTGACGAACAAACACCCAACATAGAAGAGGAAAGGTAGAAAAAAGTAAAGCATTTTCCTTGTTTAATCAGTGAAAGAAAGCATATCCTAGCAAGCCATGTCTTCAACTTGCCCAAGGACACAGTACAGATGACACCTGTGATTCTTTTTTAAATATAATTTCATTTACTTTCAAATATAACAGCAAGACTATACTTTATACAATTAACAACAACAACAACAACAACTTAAGTTCACAGTCTAGGCCACCAACTTTGGGATTCCCCCCCATTTTGTTTTAAATTGTGTACCCCATATCTCTCCAGAAATATAATAATTTCTTGTGTTCTCATGTTTACAAAATATACGGGTTAAAATTATTCCAAATATCATTAAAACAATTTTCCTTCAACATTCCTTTTTAAACTTTCAATTCACAAGTTAATTTAGCATAAATAGCCAAACTCCACATTTCATTGTACAAATCTTCCATATTTAAAAAGTCATGATTCTTCCAATGTCTTGCAAATATCAGTCTTGCTGCTGTTAACATAATATTAATCAATTCCATTTCCCTCCTTTTAACTGAATATTTCCAGACATAGTTAACAAAGCTAACGTTGGACATCTTTGTATATCAGTGCACATAGTTTTCTTGATCTCATTAAAAACCATTCTCCATTCCTTCTGCCTCTCTTCACATGTCCAACACATGTGGAAATATGTTCCCCTTTCTTTCTTACATCTCTAACATATAGGTGATACCTCTCTATTTATTATAGTCATTCTTTTTGGTGTTAAATACCACCTCCATGTCACCTTGGAACCATTTTCCTCTACCCTAGCAGACATATTTTCATTATTCTATTTTCCTATATCTTCTTCCATATTTCCTCACTAATTTCTCTGTTTATGTCTCCTTGCCATATCTCCTTCAAGGTTGTTATTTCATATTCATCTTCTACTAACTTCTTATATACAACACTTATTATTATTTCTTTCCTTTGCTTATTGGTATCTGTGTTCTCTTTTTTCAATAATTTCTTTAAATTTAGTCATCCTTCTCTTTCCTCTCCCCCCCCCCAATTTCTTTGTCCAAATATCTAGCTGCTTTAGATTCAACCAGGTAATTCTTTGTTCTCCTAATAATTCCTTTATTATCACAAACACTATATACCTTCCTTATCCAATCTTTAATTTTTATAACCCTGTTCTATAAAACCATGTTTAATCTCTTAAGAATTTTTGGAAAGTTACATAATTCCACCACACGGGTGAATGGAAAAATCTTTGGATTTAATATTCTTCTAATTTTCTTCCAATATTGCAATGTAGTACTTAAAAATGGATTGCCTATATTTTTAAGAATATCTTTTATATTTTCCTTAAAAACATATTTTCCATATTCTTATAAAACTCCATAGCATTCCATATTATCTCTTTACGATTTATTATAATTTCCGGAATATACATCAATTGATTATAATATAGTTTAATGTCATGTAATCCCAAACCTCCTTTCTTTTGAGATAAATACCCTAACTTTTAATTTATTCTTGGTCCTTTTTTTAATTAATCAAATTCTGCATTTCTTTTAAATCTTTATCATCTATCTTTATGGGTAACATACAAAATAAAAATAATAATTTAGGGATTATCTTCATTATCTTCTGCTATTCTTCAAAACCATGACAGCTTCAACTTTTAATATTCTTTAATTTGTTCCTTAATTTTTTTCATTTTATCAAAATTCATTTTAATAATATCTTGTAAATCCCAAGTAACATTTATCCTTAAGTATTTAATACTATTTTTAATTTACCCTCAAATTTATCTTTCATTTTTCTTCTCTCTTCATTGTCATAATACGCTAACATGAATTCTGATTTACTCCAATCTACTCCCAACCCTGTTATTTCTTCAAATGTTTTTAAATATATTTTAATATTTTCTATAGAATTTATTGGGTCTTCAATCATTCATAAAGCATCATCTGCAAATAAATGCATTTATTTTTTATTTATTCCCTATTCCTTTTATTTCATTATCATCCCTAATTGCTCTTGCTAATAGTTCAATGATCAAAATAAATAGGACTGGGGATTGAGGACATCCTTGCCTTGTTCCTTGACCTACTGATATTTTTCCATTATCCCATTGTTCACTAAAACCACAGCTGTATTCTCTGAATATAAGTGTTGGATAATATTTCTAAAGTGTATATGGAAACCTAATTTTTAAATTAGCATCTTAATTGCTGACCTTCCACCAAGTCAAAAGCCTTGAAAATATCTAATGCTAATATTCCTGCTTTTGTCTTTGTCTCTTTTATTGTGTAGATTACATATACCCTTCTCATTCTATCCTCTATTTGTCTGCCTTTCAAACATCAATTCTGCAAATAATATCTATCAATATGACTATTCAGTCTCTTGGCTAATATGGCTGTAAATATTTTAGCATCCTGATTCATCAATGATATTGGTCTATATCAGTGGTTCTTAACCTTTGTTACTTGGATGCTTTTGAACTGCAACTCCCAGAAACCCCAGTCAGGACAGCTGGTGCTGAAGGCTTCTGGGAATTGCAGTCCAAAACTCATGAGTAACCCAAGGTTAAGAACCAGTGGTCTATTATGACCCCATATTCATCGGGTTCTTGTCTGGTTTCAAGATTAACAAGTCCAAAACTCATGAGTAACCCAAGATTAAGAACCAGTGGTCTATATGACCCCATATTCATCGGGTCCTTGTCTGGTTTCAAGATTAACGCAATCATTGAATGTTTTCAAAAAACTTAATTTCACCCCCTCTTAATGTTTTGTGAAAAAATACTTTCAATTTAGGAATGAGGAAATTCTTTGAAATCATATAATATTGGGAGCCCAAACCATCCTGGCATCTTATCTACTTTTAATTTATTTATAATCGCCTCTCTACTTCAGTTATATTTTGTCCCATTTTTTCCATAAGTTCCTTTGTATTTTTCTACCCAGATTACTTCTACATATATTTCCTCTAATCCTTTTTTCTTGTTGTTTCTTTAAATTATAGGCTTCTTTTATACTCAATTCTCAGGCCACAGACTTTATAGAGTCCCAAATAAATCCAACTTGACCTCCTCCTTCTTCATTAATTTCTCAGATTTCTTTTAAATTCCTCTTCATATTCTCAATTACATACTTAAACCCGAATATAGTAGTACAGTATCTATCTTCAATCTTTTTGCTTCTTTATAATCACAATTTATGGCGAATTCCATAGGAACATTTGCATGGTCTGATATTTGTATAATATCTATTTCATTATCCTTAACTCCTGGTATTAGATCATTTGATCTAATACAGTAGTGAAGCAATGGGATATGTAGTACTTGTTTTCAGGCTTCCACAAGTGGAGTATATTTACTTGGGAAAGAGACTTTATTTCTGTGTTCCTGCCTACTCCAGACCAGTCCAAGGTTTCTCTCTCTTATTTTGTATCATCTGTTCCCCCTTTTCCTTATCTTCCTCATCAATAGAACTTTGCTCAGATCCAGATTCAGATGCAGATTTTGGAGCCTGTTCTACAACGTTAAGTTTCTTCATTTCTGCCTTCCACCCTTCTTCAAATAACATATTCATCTGCCTAATCCAGTCCAATTTCAGAAACACACAATATTCCAAACTATATTTTACTGTATTCTCGAAGGCTTTCATGGCTGGGATCCAATGGTGGTTGTAGGTTTTTCAGGCCGTCTGGTCAAGTTCTTGAGATTTTTTTTCCTAATTTTTCACCAGTCTCTGTGGCCAGTATCTTCAGAGGACAGCAGTCAGAACTCTGTTTGTGCTCTGGTGCAGTTTGTGGGATAATTGAGTATCTATAGCTGTGGGATCAGCTTTTTATCCTTTTTAGGAGATTGGGTGATTATGGTGATCAGCGTGTTTTTTGTTGTGGGTGTATTGTTGTGATAAGGGGGTGAGATTATCTGTCACTGTGTTTCAGGGCATGTTCAGCTACTGTTGATTTTTCCCGGTTTTTCAGTTTGCAGTGTCTCTCATGTTCTTTGATTCTGGTGTGAATGCTGCGTTTTGTGGTTCTAAAATATACCTGACCACAACTGCAAGGTATCCGGTATACACCTACAGTGGTTTCAAAACACAGTAGTACTGGACAATATCAGCGAATATTATGTTATTGCACAGGGAAGCCATTGAAATCCACAAACACTAGCAGAGCTTCAACAAAAAAGAAGAAAGTCTAAAACTCAACAAAGCCTGGCTCCCAGTACTGAAAAACACAGCCTGCAAAAGGTCAACAAACTCTCCCCAGCCACAAGGACCAGTGATCACTGCACACAAAAGACCAGTTAGTGACACCCATCAATCACAGTGATAGATCATCCCCCTTATCACAATACACCCAAAACAAAAAACACACTAATCACCATAATCACCCAATCTCCTGAAAAGGACAAAAAGCTGATCCCACAGCTATAAATAACTATCCCACAAACTGCACAAGAGCACAGACAGAGTTCTAACTCCCATCTTCTGAAGATGCTGGTCACAGAGACTGGGAAAACGTTAGGAAGAAAAACCTCAAGAACACGGCCAGACAGCCCGAAAAACCTACAACAACTATATTTTATTGCTTTCTCTGACAAGATAGTTGTAAATAGTTTCATCCCTTGGCACTAGTACATAATTTCCTCACACAGATCGTTGAAAGCCTGGATCGGCATGTCATTAATTTTCAATAATTTGGGGTTCCATCTCAAAATATCCATAAATTCATCATTTTTATGACAATTCCAAAAGTGAACCAAAACATCCCTTGGAAGTTCTTTTTGTCCTCTTCTCTTCCCCCATCAATGACATATTTCATTATCATACTTAGATCATTTCACCTGGGGCACAACAGACTGGGCCCACTGTAGAAATACCTCTAATAAACTTTTTCCTTCTGCCACCTTTTCTGGAATATCTTTTAAGCGAAGACTATTTCTTCTCTGCGTGTCTTTCTGTTGAATAATCTGAATCTGTAACCCCTTAGCTTTTTCTCTTGTTAAAAAATTAACTTAGTAATTTTCTTTGTTTGTTCTTAGACTCCTTCAATCCTATCATCCACCTCTTTCCTTTGATTTATAATTAGAGCTTTCAAAGGTTTACTATCCTTTTTTGAGATCAGCAATATCTTGTTCCTTTAAGCTTGTTCTTCTGTATTTTAGTTTTCAATTCACCAATAGCACCCATCACCATCTTCTGTAACCCTTCCATAACAACTTTAAAATATTTTTGAGATTTCCCACCATTTCTTCCTCTTCCAAATGGCATAGGCATGCACTTTTATCTGAGAGTTGTTCCTTTGTGCGTTATCCTGCTCTTCTCCACACTCTTTAGTCCTTTCTTCAATCTACTTTTCCAGGAGTTCTTTACATTCTTTCTGGTCTAGCTATTTTTCAATGAAGCTACTACAGAAGGTCCAAAAAGTCTGAATGGCATTCCCATATTCAGACAAATTTGAAATAACCACCAAAGGAAACCTTGTCATAGTTGGTATGGCACATTTACTTTTAATCGACTGTTGATTTGGTTGTCAGACATGGCTTTAAATCAAAATTAGGGCACTCGCATGTGATTTTTTGCATATGACACTACTGGCACCTCTTAAGAGGTTTTTGGAGTGCATGTGGTCTTTTCAATACACTCTACAGATCAATGTGATGAGCAGGACTGTTCAATCCTCTAGCAAATATGCATGAATAATACTGGGAGTCCAAAACGTGACTCACGTTAGTTGAAAATGTGATATATATATTTTTTGCATTGAGGTCAAGACCAAAATTTGAAAGATGACATAACATAAATCAGAGATGCTTCAGAAGAATATTATGGGAGTCTGCAAATAGCAATGGATCATTTTTGTACAGGAAAATTGTCAAACCTCTTGAATGTATACTGTGATTGGTGCCATATACTTTGTAAATACTTCTGGAGCAATATCTAGGTTGAAAAGAAGTGTTTTTTATTGATAAATTTTGTTCTCTCAAGCAGACCTAGGAAAATGAGGCTGACATTCTGATGGGGATAGACATAAACAACAAATTTTCCTATTACTGCAAACCAGAATCCTCCATTTTGCAAGGAAAGAATAAAATCAAAGTTGTGAAATTTTACATTTTGAGACCAATCCGTGCCAACTTCTTGAAATGAGGAATGAGCTACATAATGAGCTCTGAAGTCCCCATCAGAGTAGGAATTGAAGTCCCCAATTCAAATTGGGTTTTTCATCTGTGACTTGCGCAGCATTCGTATCTGATAACTCCACACCAGGGATAACTGAAGTTGAAGATTCAATATATTGAAACTCAAAAACTGTTGGGTGAGTTAGCCTTCACCCAGACAAAATAAACTTTTTAAAAGGCTGCTTGAAGGGAGAAATTTACTCCCCCCCCCGACTACTATTTTTTTTAAAAAAGGGCTCTAGAGGCCATAAATGAAAATAACAATCTATAGGTTAAAACTATTTTAAGTAATAGACAACTAAGAACAAGCAAGAAAAACAAATACTTGGAAAGAGGGAAAACTGGATCAGTTAAAGTTTTCCAGTTGGTCCTGGCATAGCAAATACGTAAAATGAACTGAGGAGCTGTCAGATAATCTTAGTCATGCACAAGGGAGTGGGGGCAGGACTTCTGCAAAACAGCTACTCAGCGCGAAAGCATTCCAGAGGACTCAGTGTGCAGGCACAGCACTCAATTGTCTGAGTCACAGAAGCCATGAATTGTATGAAGCACAGAAACTATTAATACATTTCAGAAAACACACACTACTAGTTCAATGCACTATCTGGGATAGACATTAAAGCAAACTAGTTACTTGCCTCCAAGTGTACTGAACATGACTTGGGTTCAATTTTTTATCGCTATCAACTGCGGATATAGCATCTTAAGATTTATGCCTAGCTGATTTGGAATTTAACATCAGAGTGCAAAATCTACAAGTTTATGGCATAGCAACAATCATAGCCCAAAGACCACACTTGTAAAATAAGTTTGCTGCAAATTATAATTCCTTCAATGAGTGATAAGAGAGTGTGGAGGGAGGGAGAGAAGAAATAAACAGATCACAGAGTTCGTTCAGCTGAAAAAAAATGTTTATAAATGTCGGTAGGTAAACAGTTCATGTTATTTTGAGGGCTATGAAATACACAAAAATTTAATTTGGTCCATAACTCTCTACTGCCACAGCTTTCCCTAAAGGAAAAAAGTGGCTTCTGAATTAATGAAGTTCATGAAAAGAGTACAGAATTCCCTTTTAGATTCCAGACCTCTCTCTGAAGTTAATAAAAAAGGATCCCATATCAAAATGGGAGAAGAAACAGTATTAAATATATTCTGAATACATCAATAGACCAGTTTTGAAGTGACAAAATTCATTTAATATGCCATCTATGATAAATGCAGGTATTATGTTGAGAGGTCACAGTAAACCATAGCTTATATGACTAGAAACATTGCAGTTAGCAAATTCTCCCTTTGCCACCAGCATACCCATGTTCGGATAATGTCTGCTGTATGACCTAAACTTGATAAACTGTACTTATTCCTAGGTACTGTTTAGGAAACAAGCACATTTCATAAACTATGGTTTGAAGATACTTTCTTTAATCATGGTGAAAAAGTTCCCTAACTCAATTTTATAGCCACGAGGGGGCAGGGAATGTATATGTCAAGGCTTATCATGGTTTGCTCTCATCAAATTAAATTATGCTTTTAAATGATGTCTAAATGCAACCATTGTACAGTAGTTGCCTTCCACTAAGTCAGCCTGCAAAGTATATTGTTTCTACATGCGTTCTGGCAATAAGAATTCTAACCCTATAAATATTCAGACAAAAATATAATATATGAAAATGATCAATGAAAATAAGCTTATAAAGAATTCCTCTTTGTTAAAGAAGGAATGTACAGAATTATTTATCTGTCAAGGCTTTATGCAAGATAATATACAGCATGTGTTGCATTCACAGTTATGACAAATTATAATGGATGAGAACATCTGAAAGCAGTATTCTTCAAAAAAGAAAACTTTTTTTTTACCTGGGATTGTTTTTCAATGTATTCACTAAAAACTCATGTAGATCTATCCCAGTCGAATCTGTATATTCTTGGCTAGAATCTATTAAATAGATAAACAAATACATACACCCAAGATTGAAGAAAAGACATCAATTATTTCAATGAAATAACAATATTTTAAGAGTTGTATTTTTTGCATATTGGTAAAAATACCAGATTTAAGAATTTAATCATGGACACTGAACTGCAGAGTACAGTAATTTGATCCTGCACACATATTAAAAAGTAGAAAATAATTTCCATCAATCCTGCCCAATTTTCCAGTGTACCTCAGGGCTCTGCTACACGAAGAGCAGATTCTCAGGGAGCTGCAGAGAAGTATGTACATTCACTACAGTGTGCTAAGATTTTGCAGACCAGTTGTTAATATTAACTATTGTAACTGCTCTTGGGCCAGTCTAATAAGACCAATTTGGGAACATAAAAGGAATAAAGAGGGAGAAAACATAAATTAATAATGATAAGCCAGTGGGCATATTTGTTACCACACTATTCCCTTAAAAGCTTAAACCACCTACCCTTCAGCCATAAATTTATTGCCTGATAATTGCTTATTTCATATCCTGAGCATTTCTGGGAATATGTCAATGAATTCATTCAGTAACTTCAAAATTATCAATTTTTAGAGTTTTGCATTTAGTTTTTACCATGAAATCTTAGTGTTTCCCATTATCAGCCACATTCATCTTCAATCAACCTCCAGAATTTATATCTTGTTTAGAACACCATCCACAGTGAAGACTAAGTTGCCTTTTCAAGACAAGAAGTGTGTTGGTAGCTGGTGTGTGCAGTCACAACTGTAGCAAAGGAACATAGTTCAAATATTGCTCCCAGGTAGTGCATCTGCTATAGAAACTGGGCTTCAATCCTATACTCAAGTAGCAGTAAGACCCAAAGAACACAACAGAACTTAAATCCAGGGAAGCATAATACTGTAATATTGGGACAGGTAAAAATCAGTGCTTCCCAGCCTTGAATTCCCAAATGTTCTTGGACTGCAACTCTCAGAAATCCTGCCCAGCACAGCTAGTGGTGAAAGCTTCAGGGAACTTTAGTCCAAGAACATCTAGGGACCCAAGGTTTGGAACAAACAAACTTCTGCTCCCCCCCTTCAAAACAAACAGAGAAGAATGTTCCTACCCAGTCAGTTTAAGGCACAGAACATAACAAATTCTAGTTTTTCCACCACCATTTCTTTCTGCTAGAGCAATGGTTCCCAAGGCTGGGTCTCCAGATGTTCTTGGACAACAACTCCCAGAAATCCTGGCCAGAAGAGGTAGTGGTGAAGGCTTCTGGGAGTTGGAGTCCAAGAACATATGAGGACCTAAGGTTGGGAACCACTGTGCTAGAAAGAAGAATGAAGGCATGCCAGAGATAATAGTGGGATCAAAATGTTAATTGAATTACCCATCCCTCCTTCGCATCCTCATCTGTATTTGCCACCCTTCTAAAACCTGAGCTGCAGTTGAAATTAGGCCTGTAAATGCCTAGATATCCATCTAATCCTAATTTATCTCACACTATATTCTTCCTTATGACTGAAGTATGCCAATGCATTTACACCAGGATATGTAACCCCAAGGATGTACCGTAAGTTCTGTATGTGGGACCAAACATAGAGGTAAGAAGACACATAGCTCAAGTAAGACTACACATCTAGAAAATATTTCAAATCCTTTAAAAGAATGGTGTTGTATATATTAAACAAAACAAACATTAGATGCTATTAACAATTACAGCTCAAAACAGAAAAAAGAATGATAAACGGCAAACCTCTTGACAACATTTTCCTGGGTAATTTATCAGTGGGCTTTTCCTTTTCAATTTCATCTTTTGAAGGCTTCTCTTCCTTTTCAAAAGACTGTGTTAGCTGGATTTGAATCTTCTCCTGTTAAAAAGCAAAACCATCAATTTCCCCCTCAAAAAATGAAAACTTCATCAGCATAAACATACAACTGTGCCATAAAAATGAATGTGCTCGATGCAAAGTGGGAAATAATCAGACAGAACTATCTTTGAAGCTCTTGAAATGCAAATACCTAAGCTCATGGGAAACGGAATAATGCGGCATAATGAAAATGCCTTTAAAGGAAATAATAAAAGGAACTGCTATTTAATATTATTTTATTTCCTAGAAAACTGCTCTGAAGCTACATTGACACAGAAGGGCCAGCCTAACTGTAACACTAAGCTATGGTTTAGTGCTAGGCAGATAAGCCTAAATGAAGTATCTGGCTTGCAGATTTCCCACTTCTCTCCAGCAAACCAGTACTCTATTTATACTTACCAAGGAACAAGCACCATTCATTGACCAGGCACTTACTTCTGGATAAACATATATAGGACTGTACACTGTCTCTATATTTTAATAGCTAAAAAGTAATATAGTCTAATTTCCTATGATAATGAAGATCATTCCTACATATCTAAAATACTTCAGAGATGCCTAGTAGCTTTCTAATAACATCTTTGAATCACCTGAGACTAGCGAGACCAAAACTGACCAAGATCAATGGACAAGACCTTGCATACCTTTACATTTAAAACTGACGTGGAAGAGTGTGGCTTACTGTACAGACTGCATCTGGAAATGACTTAGGAGAAAATACAGAAGGTACATTCTGAAACTTTCTCTTTCTTTCCACACACCTTTTTTCCTACTCATCCTCACGGATTAAAAAATGAGCACAAAATCTGCATAATATATTTCCCATTCAAAATGTATACGGTATTTTCTGAACAACAATTGCTAAAAAATGAACTAAATTTATATCTTCGCATGTGCAGTATTTATCTTACAGAATTTGCCACATATTTCAGATACAGTATTTCATCATTTTCCCTCATTTTATTTTAGTTTATCCAAAAGCCTTTCCATAGTTGCTTTGACCACATCAGCCTGATTAGGGATGGGCAGCTTGCTCCTCTCCAAATACTGTATTGCTGGCCAGCAACTCCCAGCATCCCTCACCACTGACAACATGGGCTATGGCTGATGGGAGATGTGGTCCAACAACATATGGAAGATCACACTTTGCCTTTTCTGGATAGACCTGGCTTTATAAATGTATCTTGCAATACCTAAGGGCTGGACATAATGAAACTGTCTTGATTTACATTGCTAAAGACAGAGCAGCAGAATAAATGAAATCTTTGTCCAATTCTTTCATTGCCTCCCATTTTAGCATTCAACGGTATCCCTCAGCAAATAGCAAAGAATCCAAATTTAGAACTTTGTGAGAAGATACAGAATCATGGGAGAGGAAAAAAGAGTAACTGAAGCAAGGAAGTGTAATTCATCTCTAACAGGTTGTTCGTTGTTTTATAGAGTCTTAAAGACTTCAGACACAAACAGTTTCATGGCATAGCTAAATGAAGAAAATATTATGGTGGAGGATTACTCTCATTTGCAATTAGGCATTTCACCTCATAGCTTTCCTGCTTTTGTAAAAACCAACAAGAAATCCAGCACATAGGCAGGGTCCAGTAGAGGTTAATCTGAAATTCTCTGTTTCTTTTCAAGATACAGCTATATCTCTGTTTTAGAGGAATGCCGACAAAAATATCTGCTTCAACAGATTTTCTTCATAGTGGGTGTTTTCTCCAAGAGAAGCACAGGACAAGAAACCTATTTCCAAAATCTCCAAGAGGGCAGCCATGTTGTGCTGTGATAGCAAAAAGAACACAGACTCTTGTGGTGTCTTAAAGACTAACAAGTTGTACTTAGCGTAAACTTTCACAGACTGTGGCTCATTTTTCTTTTCAAGATACAGCTATATCTCTGTATTGCAAAACAGAGGTATGAAACACTGTTTTAGAGGAAGGCCGACAAAAAGACTAACAAGTTTTATTTAGCATAAACTTTCACAGACTGTGGCTCATCTCTCCAGCAGCAGTCATTTATTGAATGGCTATCTTATTAGTCTTTAAGGAGCCACAAGCTTCTGTTGGTCTTCCAGATATTTCAAGCGATAAATTGATAATGTATTGTGGCTTTGCTCGGTTAATAGATATTGTTACAGCTTGCTGGGGGGGAAAAAAGCAAAAAACCAAAACAAAACAGGAAAGTGTCATGGTCTTCCAGATATTTCAAGCGATAAATTGATAATGTATTGTGGCTTTGCTCGGTTAATAGATATTGTTACAGCTTGCTGGGAAAAAAAGCAAAAAACCCAAAACAAAATAGGAAATCTGGATATTTTTTTCAGACTCCTCCTCCCATTACACAATAGCTACAAAGAAGGGATAAGCAATTTGTATTGCAATGCATCATTCCTACATGTACAAAACAGAAGATCTACTTGTATCTAGATTCTCAAAATCCTCATGCTACAATGTAATGGGCATTGATAAAGGCTTCTTCAGGATTTAGCTGCTTTCCCTAATGAGAATCTGAGTTTAGTGAATAACTCAGGATTATTGATTACAGACCTTGACTACTGGGGAAAAAATTATCTCAAAACTCTTAATCGGCAAGAACAAAAAGACAGACACTAGAAACCAGAGAACATACTGTACATCATTAGGCTGACGAGAATCCTGACCTCATCATACACACTTACAGGTACACAGATACATTCTTCAGGACTTCTGCTGCCACCACTCCCAAAACAAAAAAGCAACTTTAACTACTTTCTCACATGGACCAAGTCTGGGAAAAAAACTATTTCTGTCATGAAACTGGGTCTCTTTTTATAATCCCTACCACCTACTACACAATACTGAGTCTCATCTCTTTCTCTCATTTCTTCTTCCCTAATTCTTCCTATGTACATTTCCAAAAGTATCACAGGCCAAAAACTTGAAATTCTTCCCTTCTGTCTCTTGCAGTTTGCTAGGGTCCTCCTCTTCCTTGTCCATCTCTTCACCAAAAATCTCCAACTGTTAAAAGTATATGGTCCTCCAATCTATGACTTGTGTCCAGAAAAGACTTGTCTCCACCATAGAAGTAAGATACTTGCCGTGTGTTTGTGTGTGTATGTTTCTGTATCTGTGTGTCTTCTTGTACAAATAGAAGAGCGTGAGAAAGAAATAAGCTTTTACAATTTTAAAATGTAAACAAGCTGAGACAAGTTATAGTTTAGATACACTTACCCTGCTGGTTCGTTTTCAATAAAATTGCATGAACAAAAATTCACTATTGACTTCTTGGTTTCACAGCAGTTTAACTTTTTCATTTACTGTAGAAATGCCCATGAATTATACTAATGGTATATGTTTTGTCAAGTGGCACATGCATATACACATGCCTCTGTACATACTTCTTCTCTGGATCACTGCTCGTATGTTTTCATAGTGAACAGCTAGGTGTCAGAAGATGTAGAACTGGAGCACCCTTCCATTGTTACTCAGTTGTTTATCTTGTGCTGGCACACAGAATTCAGTGCAAGCACCAGCATCATATCAGTACCTGAGAATACCTTAGATTAATTTTAAGAGAAAAGCTTTCAGGGAATTTTATCTTAAAGACAGCTAAAGATTTTAAAATATAGCTATTTCAGAAAGAATAAAAAATTGCATTATTAGTCAATCTCATCAAGTAGCATTCAACCACTCCACTGAGATATACATCTGGTTCCATCAAGCTTACTGGTTTGAAAATGGAAGCAGCAACACAGTTGCATACCAGGACATCCATTTTGCTATCTATGGAAAGCAAAGAAGCTGTGCCTTTGCTGATCCATTGATACCTTAGGTGACAACAAGCTGAAATGTATAATAGACACTTTGAGAAATGTATCCTAAGTTATATGTGCGCACATCAGAAAATTAAATCAGTGCATCAAAAAATAACTACTGTATGCTGCACAAATAACAGGCAATTTAAGTGAACTAATCATCTGTTGTTTCCTTAGAATGTACCTAACAGTCAGAATGAACTTTTGATGAATTATCATAAAGCATCTTCTCTTCCCTGACAAGCTTCAATATCAGAATATGGTGATTTCCTGTTTTACATTACAGCTCATCTAGACAACTGTAAATTAACTGGGAAAACTGATAACTTTTTATTTGACTTGGCCCTTAGAACACAACTACTAACATTACTGGGGGGGGGGGTTGGAACTCAAATGGTTAAAATCCATTAGGCTACATCTTAAAGGTACATGACATTTAATTTTCCCTCACAGAGCTCAGCCATCCAATATTCTCCATCAGACATTCCAATCCACTTTCAGCACTAGCCAACAGGCCAACCCCACTTTGTTTCAGAACAAAACAGAAGAACATAATCAACCAAACATATTCCTATTCACATGAAAATTATCAGAGGGAAAGCGTGTTCATAAAAAACACACACTGGCTTTCTGGAAGCATTTATTAATAGAAGGATCAATTCACAGTCATTCGTACTATTTGGTTAAATAAACAAACCAATACAGTGCTGCACACACTACAACATCATCCAATGAAACAGGGACAAAATTGCATTTTCCTTGGTGTCCCCAGACAGCCAAAATCTCAACAGACTTGCAAGTAGAAGTCTGCTATACTGACTCAGAAACACAAGAAGATAGACTAGTAAGATTTCTTTGGTGTCAAGGGAAGCTCTTCCACAGCACAGTTGGAAGTCGGACTCACAAATACCACTGATTTAATGTCAGGAAGGAGTTTATGCTACTACAATTTGTATTGCATATACTTCCCCTAATTTCTTGACTGTAGTATCAAACTTTTAACACTAATCATATTTTAAAGTATGAGCTTTCTGGAAAGTCATACTGTGTACACTCATGGATGCACTTACAGTATTTCCTTGTGTAAGCTACGTAAGAGGCAGAGCATGAATGTGAATAAAACACATCCAGCAGAAGTACTTATATTTTATTGTTCAAGCAAAAGAGCTGGGGTTTCTATCGTGGTAACCTGTCCACAAGCACAGATTTGCCAACATACATCCACATGCACACACAATTATTTTCTATTTGTTTAGAAATGTATTTCTCAAAAGAGCAAACTGTACTCCTCTTCCCCAAATCTTCCAAACATTTTAAAAGAACAAAAACCAGGTGTGAGGTCTCATACTCAATTTTATTTTTACCTGGATGTCCTGTGAAATTTCAGCTGTGGGAGGTGGAGGAGATTCTTCACACACAGCCAGGCTCCGAACTAGCTTTAACTTTGTACTTGACTAAAGAAAAGTATTTATAATTAAAAATCTATAGTTCACAGTTGTTTTTCCTCAATTTTACTGTCAAGTGCATAATAAAGCTGCTCACATTTGAATACTGATTACTTTCAGTACACAATCATTCATTATTTGAGGGCAAAGGGACAAGCAGTTAAAGCTCTGAAGCCATCATGATATCAGCAAAAAGCAACTTCAGTTAATGAAAAAAAAAAGGTTGAAGCAAAGAGCAGCACTATTTCCTCTGTCCAGCAACAAGAAGCCACCAGAAATATAATGGTAAAGCAAAAAGCAAACAATTAGGCAAATCAAAAGTCCATAACAAAACAAAAACACTTTACTGCCAAAGAAATGAAGGATAAAACTGAAGTCAATACATATTTTCACAAAATAACAAGGCTCCATCAAGCATGAAGACTTCCTTAGCATGCCAGCACACAAGTCTACTGTACCTTTGACCTTTTTCCTGTCTGTCCAAAAGATTGCGCTGGCCGCTGAATGGTGAGCATAACAAAAGAGAGTTTGTATTAAACTTTATGTACTGACTGTATCAGCCATTTGTCAATTCACCAGTGTGTACAGCAGAGAAAGCAATTAGATGGTGAGAATTAATTACAGGATGATCCATCCCATGAATGAATGCAAAAGGAATGGTTCTAACTTTTTTAGTTGAAGAAATTTCAAGTTTCCACACCTCAAAAACAATTCTATTCAGAGCTTGGCGAAGTTACTTTTTGGACTCCAGTATCTCCCAGCCAGCACAGAAATTCTGGGAACTGTAATCCAGAATGTAACTTTTCCAACTACTGGTTTTGCTTGTTCATAGAGATGTCACAATAGTTTAGGGGAGGTAACAACTCAAGGCAATTGGAAAGAAAGCCCCAACTCCTTTGGGCGCTTAGCTAAGGCTGCAAATGGGATTGTGCAATGTCTTGAAACTAAGATTATTTTCAGATATTTCTCTTAACCTTGGGTAATGCCAATATCACATATCAAGTCTCATCTCTAAAAGAGAATGTTACCACCTAGCCAGCACTTTTTCATAATCATATCCCGAGAAGTATCTGCTCTCCTTACAGCCTATTGTTATTAGTATCACTATACTATTAATCAGTGACTTTCAGAGATACCTGCTAAATTCTTGTATTTAATTAAGAATACAGTATTTATAATGATCAACCTTGATAACAAAGGTTATTTGATCAACTCCTAGGCACAACCAATAAAGAAATTTTACACGGCTTAGCCACTATGTGAAAAAAAATATCTGGAAACCATCCATCAAAGCTAGCACTTTGCTAATTACGGAAATAATGTGGGAGTTATTCACACATTCATATCCCGTCTCCAATGGAAAGAGTCTAAGTGGGCTACTGTCACTTTCTTCATAAAGCAATTCAAAACTGTATCCCAATGGGAACAGATTTCAGGTCACTGCATATTGTTTATAAATATTTGCCACACAACTCCCCTGACTCAGGTTCCTGTAAATACTTGGGTGGAAGGCTACCTGCAAACTCCATCAACACTGCCATGAATTCATGGAAGAAATTCTGAATAACATTACCAATAGCATAAAGCATTAAAAATACCACCAACCGCTAGTAGTCATGACAATGACACTTGCGGTGGAGAACTGCCACATAGTAAATATTGACAAGTTTTACAGTCAAAGCATGCATTGATCAACATAAGATGACGCGTTTCAGCAGCATCTCCACATTATTAATAGGATGTATTCAAGTTCTGTATATTATGACCAATGCACATAGTCCAACTAAATAAGTGACATACAATTGAGAATAAGTCTCTCTCCTTGCAGTAGGATACTGGCATTTGCTGGTGTTTCTGCAAACACTACTGCTCCACTTAGATGCATAAATTAATAGTAGCACAAGTTTGTTCACACGGAATGGCTGAAATCTTATTCAACCCTTGCTTGCCCATGAAACATGCCACACATAGCACACTCCTATAGCTTGCACATATTTGCAGCGTACTGTACAAAAATGGAGAATTATTTGCTGACCATCTGTATAATCACAATTACATAGTTACATAATTTTTAAGTTGTAACTAATTACATATAGTGTGCTATTAGACGTGGCTTATTTATATATGTAACAGCAATGTGGGTGGCGCTGCAGGTTAAACCTTTGAGTCACTGGGATGTCAATTGAAATGTCAGCAATTCGAATTTGCTTGAAAGGGTGAGTTCCCATTGCTTGTCCCAGATCCTGTCAACCGAGCAGTTTGGAAGCATGGAAATATGAGTAGATGAATAGGTACCACCTCAGTGTGAAGGTAACGGCGTTCAGTGTCTAGTCATGCTGGCCACATGACCACAGAAAGTGGCTATGGACAAACGCCGGCTCTTCGGCTTACAAACGGGGATGAGCACTGGCCCCTAGAGTCAGACATGACTGGACTTAATTGTCAAGGGGAACCTATATTTTGCCTATTTATATATAATAGATGACACATAACAAGTCATAATACTGAAGAAATTGCTTCTAAAGAACAACAGACAAAAATAATATCAAGAAGCTAAATATTTTAATACTGAAGAGTTGCTATGAGTCAGGTAGAAGGAATATTACAAGTTACCAAAGCTTCCTTAATCCTTTAACTACTGAAGTAGATTTTGGAAAACTGCTGATCCCACTACAGCAGTAGTCCCCAACCTTGGGCCTCCAGATGTTCTTGGACTACAACTCCCAGAAGCTTACACCACCACCTCCTCTGTCCAGGATTTCTGGGAGTAGAAGTCCAAGAACATCTGGAGGCCCAAGGTTGAGGACCACTGCACTACAGCATTTGATCCAGTCCATACATTAAAGCTATTGGTAAGCCATGAAGATCAATATAAACCAGGGGTCTACAAACTTTTTCCCCTGAGGGCCACACCGGATACTTTCAAGGTCTTAGAGGGCCAAAGGAACAGGAACGTGCACGTATGCCCCTCGCCCGCACCCCCACCCGCCCATGTGTGCAGATGCATGCATGCATGCATGCCCCCTGCCCGGATGCCAGCCCCCCTGCCTGCCCCCTCACATGCATGGCGTTAAGGGAACGGGCTGGATGAACTGGAACGGTGGGCCAGCCCCCCTGCCTGCCCCCTCACATGCACGGCGTTAAGGGAACGGGCTGGATAAACTGGAAAGGTGGGCCAGGTGTGGAGACCCCTGATTTAAACACCAGGTTGTTGCTATGTACTGACATACCACATCCTATAGCTAGAGCTGGGTTCCTAATGATTTCATGCTACCAAAAATCAGAATGTCACAGCACTGACAAATTATTTTTTTTAACACTGTGAAAATCATTGGGCAGAGGCAAGGAATTCATTTTGGAAGAAGTACAGCAAACCAATTCCTCCTTGAAATGTTTCATAAAAATCAGGTTTAAAAAATTACTGTGCCCTTAAAGAGAATCGCTATTTGATAACCTTCAGATTAGGGAAAGTCATGGGCACAGAGCAGCCCAAATGAAATGCTTGTCCAAGGACCAAAGTGGTACCCAATGTGAGTAACTACAGATATCAGCATCAACTGAGTCGTGAGATGGTCAAAGGTACACTAGCTCTGTGAATCAAATGAATAGCTGCTTTTCCTTAGAAGGAAGATCCCAAGTCACTATTATTCAAAAGGTCAACGTGGGCTGAAAAAAAATGAAAGATTCCTTTGAAACCTAAGAGACCATTGATCGCAGACAGACATAAAGATCCTCTTCACTGAAAGGTGAATACATATACAGTAAAAGGTCTTTATGCACATGGGAGTGTACTGGCTGATCTATAAAGATGTGTATATTTTGAGTGAAAGTAAGACAAGACCTAGGGCTGAACTGCAGCTGGGCGTCTTGTTAGAAGTTGTCTTACTCTTAGATAAACAAGATTTTCATAGATTATTTTATGGAACCTGGGATATTACTCCCACCAAATTTGACAGGAGGAGCATGTGATGGGGGATTCTAGAGATGGACAAGATATACAGCAGCGTTACTCGAAGGAGTTGAGAGCTTGCCTGATAAGACATTATATTTCCCTCCAAACATAGAACAACTATACAAAGCATAGTTAGCACAGCCGCAACTCTGAAATCATTGGCACCTGGATACTATACAGTCTGTTTACTTTTTCTACAAAGCTTTCAAAATCATCAAGTCTTGTTAAACTTCATTAACACCGCCACCTTATGGATTTCCTTTCCATGAAAAGCTCTAATCCGGAACTAAATAGGAGGCACCCAGCGGAGATCAGCAGTTCTCTTTTTCTGTTTGAGGGAGCTATACAAAATTATATTTTCATGTATAGTTCCACAACATGAAAATGGGAACTTTTAACACCACACTTTTCAACAAAGGTAACAAAAATCTCATTGTAACCATGAAAAAGGGGTGGACAAAATACAGCCACGGCATCACATGCAGTCAAGACCTCTCCTCTGGTTTCCACTTTCCAAAGGTGAAATGCCTTTGCTGAAAATCCAGCTTTCAAAAAGTCACAGCCCTTTTACAACACAGGGAGTGGACTTCGAGCATACATTTTTGTGTGCTTTTTAAAAATCATCTTTTGTACTCCAATGGCTCCTACGAGCAGAAAACTAGCCCCCAGACGCACCACTCTTGCCTATCTCTGTTTTAAGGCGTCATCCTTGAAACAGCAGTATGTTGCAACTTTGAGCTGTCTCTCTGTTCTGCCATTGTCCAAAATCCACTGCCGGAAAAAATGGAGCAGTTTAAATTATAAAGGCCCCCTCCTTAGGACACAGTTCTGACAAAAATACAATTGTGACTTATCTTTAGAGGGTAAGAGGACAACCTTAATTTCACATTTATTTGCAAGCACACATGTGTTCGATCCCTGCTACAGGTTTGATAAGTGATGAGCCCTGAAACGTCCACCCTGACAACACTCATAAAATAGCACACATTTTTATATATACACCACACATGCTTTGTTCAGATAACTTGTGGTTTCATATGCTAACAAATAGTGTTGTGGGTGTTTTGCTTTTTTCTATTTAGCACTACCAGTGCTTTTTGAACTTGGTGTCTTCAACATGAAGCAACTGTTCAAAAGCTCTGGCGTTCACATACAGCATTCATGTAGGTAAGTCTATCTTGCTAGAAGTAGCCCTTAGGCAAAGAAGCTGCCACTTTAAAGATTCTTATTTCAAAAACAGTCCCTCGTACCTATAATTAGCTAGGCACTATGTCGGAAACAATGAAAGAATGAAAAGTTGGGACTACTTGTCTGTTTTTCTAAAAATCAGCAAATAATTTTTTTTCTACAACTACACTCTTATCTTTCTAAGCCTGTAAAAATTTACATAAATTAATATGCTGCATCAAATATTCAACATGAAATACATCATTTATTATGACCAACATCAGATCAAACAGTCAAACCTATTAACGAGAACCGCAGCGCAAAAGTATAGCCATGTTAGAACTAACATAACCTCTGTGGAACCCTTCTAAAAATGACAAATGCAGGCCTTTTAGCCACAGCTAGAAATACATACTCCTTGATTTTTGTCTGACATCAGAAACTTGGAATAGGATTGAGTAGATTGGTCAGGGGCAACTGGGCAAATTGGCCAGCATAACTATTAACAAGCTCCATTATAAATCATGAAACAGAAGAACATGTTTCACTGGTTTCACCTTCTGGTTGTTACCTCACATATAAAGAAACAGTAGTGGACTGGCCACTTAATAATTGAGTTGGCAAAACATTCAAGCAGGCCAAAGCAGTATTAAGGGATTTCACAAAACATTCCCAGAGAATGAGACAAGTAGAACACTTCTGCAAAAGCAAAAGGTCCTGAAATGAAAAATCCCAACCCTTCTTTTTTATTGTGCTGACTGCACAGTCAAACACGAATATATAGTAGTAGGCAGAAGGCAATCCAATGAAACAAGCCCTTGCAGAACCATATTTTGCCCCGAAGTTTCTGTAGGTAACCGGGGAAATGTGGCAGCAAGCCAAGGGGCAAGCTAAAAATATAAATTCTAAGCCAAAACTGTAAGGTTCTTAATGAAGCTCTTGCTCCAAAGGTGCCTGCCAGTGTTCAGTAAGAGAGCTATACTAGGAACATATTTGGGAGAAGAAAAAGAGCTCATATACTGCAGATATCGGAAATTCTTGCATACTGCTATTATCAGAAGACATGTCTTGATCCATATAGCAACTTCACAAAGGAGTTTAAAAATCTTCACTTTAAAAATGAACAAATGACTGCTGGGACACACTGACCATCTTTCATACAAAGGAACCCTAAGAAATTACACTGGTTTACTGGAGTTTTCTGAATTATCTGACAGTGGTGATGGTGCGTTACCCCCATATGCATGACTTATAAAACGCATGTGGTAACTCACCATACTCCAATACACATCTGCAAGACAAAAACATTTATTGCAGTTCAGTGATCAATGACAAATACTGAGCATGGAAAGACAGGATTCGGAGACTCCCAAAATGATGTTACTGATGCACAAAGTGCTGAGAAGCAGCTGCCGCATGACCCAGCAGGCAGAGAACACAAAAAACTCACCACCAAGAAGGCACTAATGAAAGATGGAAAATCTTAGCTATACATTTAGATATCAAGTTAACCTAGTACTCAACAATCACAACCTCAAGACCAAACATAATTAAAATTTTATTTACATGTTAATTTAAAAAGCTTGCCAATCTCAGGCCATCTAACTGAATATTAAGACAACAAAGACTCCAAGTGATAAAAGTTTTATGTGACCAAATAACATGATCTGAATTAAAGCCGGAATACAGAAGTAATCCCAACAATTACTTATGGAAGACATATATATAGGAACAGAAGCAGTGGAATTCGGATGACGGACAACTGAAAGGAAACTTGTTATTTCTTATCACATAGCTTCGGAATGTTTCAATCTGAACCTCCTTCCTTGATTTGTGTTAATGGTGCACAAATCACTGAAGAAGCAAGCACAGCTTTTGCGTGTGTGTGATTTTGCATTTTTTGCACACTCTACTTACTATGCTTTTATCACTTAGGAATGACATTGAGTAATAAACAAAATTGGTTTTTTTTTCCAGAAATGCCTCAGCAAACACTTTATGAAGATCTATTTTGATAGCAACTGTACACCCTACTTACTTGGAAGTAAATTTTATTCAACACAACAGGACCTACTTTTGAGTACACATGTATAAGATTACACTTATTCTTTGTATTACTGACTACACATATTGTGCCTTCTTGGTACACATACCTCTTCCACAACAGATTAAGAGATGGCTAATTTTCTAGATTTGTCTTCCTTCTGCCTCAGATGCTTTACAATGACTAGTAAGAGAATTCATATAATCACATGGCAGGTGGCTTAATCATGGTCATACAACAAAATAACAAGATTTCATTTTCAGCTATAAATCAAACATAAAACGTAATAATCTCAACTCTGAATTAAAGAGCAGGTTCCAATTCTTTACTACCAAGTGGAAAGTCATTTAAAAGGTGAATTAAAAGTTCCAGTGATAATTACTTTATACTAAGAATCTCCAAAGTTTAGAATGAAAACAAAACAGTGTACTTCTTAATCTCTTTAATACTTCCATTCTGTTTTATCTGGCCCTGCACTTTTTGGAATGAGTTGGGAAGGAGGGATTTTTGTAATTAAAAAGATAGCTGTGATCAAACAGATCAGATACGACTTTATCTAACATAAAAACATTACTTCTTCTAAATTAATTGCAAGATGCTTCCTCAGGATGACAACAATGCTGTTAAGAGAGATGAATGTCAGACAAATTAGCTAACAATAAGGAATCTGTACTTCTCCTTGCTAGAGGCAACCACCCCTGACCCTTTGGCAACAAGAACTCTAAAAAGCTTCCAAAAGCCTCCTTTTTGTACTGAAGCTTGGGAAGTGAAAGAAACAGCTGGAGTTTCTCTCCTTCTCCAAAACAAGTGCACACTACCCTTGGAAATCTGGAAGTTGAATCATCACAACTGGACTTCTTTCTTATTAGGCTGAAATGTTTTGCTACTCATCCAAGTAGCTTCTTCATTCTGAGGAGAATTGGTAGGCGACCCCTGATAGCTCCTCCAGGTTGATTTCACTTTCCCTTGTTCTGAATTAGATGGACAAAGGGAGGGGGGGAGTGAAAATCCTACTTCTGTTGTGTTTCTCCACCCACTGTTATGGGTTGTTAATGGTCGTTCACAGTGGTCTTTTTGGTGGGTATGGTCCTGATCTTTCTGGGGATGGATGAAAGGGCAGCATGATAAATAGGAGACAGATTGGAACTCTACACTGGAGAAACTAAACAGAGACTAAACAGGAGAATGGCCCAGCACAGGAGGAGCAACAGCTCAGGACCACAATCAGCAGTGTTCCTTCATTTGAAGGACAAAGGACACTCGTTTGATGACCAAGATGTCCTCATTTTAGACCAAGAAGACAGGTGGTTTGAGAGATGGGTCAGAGAGACCATACATGTGCATACAGAAAATCCCTCACTCAAAAGGGGTGGAGGCCTTAGATACAAATATTTAAAAAAGAATTTATGTCCCAATCTCTACCACAAATCTGTCTCCACCTCCAAATCCTTTTATATATGTCAGAAGACTTAAGCAAGAGAGACAAAACATGGCCAGACTGCCAAGTCAGTATCTGAGGACGCATGCTGACAACACCAAATGTAAAAGGAACCCAGCAATGTTAGACTTGACAATTTTGCAACAAATGCCTCCATTCAGGTAATGGTATTAAAGCCATTGCAGACAATTAGATGTACAAATTACCAATCCACTTTTAACACACAGGTACAAGCTAATGAAAGTCAAGGCTTATTTTGAAGTTAAACAAAAATGAAATAATCAGAAAATCTAAAGCTCTAGAGCAGTCAACCATCTTACATATTTAAAAGAATATGGTCACCATACACAGGATGAAGAGATAATCACAGCGGAGGTAATCACTATGATGTCTGTAATATGTCATATTATAAAAAGAAGTTTGATAATATCACTACTGAATGAGAGAAATTAACTTCATTATCATGTGAAAAAAAAGTCTTTTGGTCCCATGTTTTATCAAATGGCATTCAGCCACAAAAGTTGAGAAAATGATTCAACTACTACATTATGGTAACCTGATAACTCACCAAACTGTGTAGTGAAGACATGTATTGCTACCAAAATGCCAGTTTCTGTCCTGTAAGATAACTGGCAAACCTACCTTCGAATCTATTCAGAAACCTAATGCACAGCACTTAAGGAAAAGACAATGTAAGGAAAACGTGAAGGAAGAGATAAATTATACATGAAAATTTGTATTTTTTAAAACACTACTGAAATTGATTCATACCTGAAACCAAGGAAATGGGGAAATAGAAGAGGAAGGAAAAAGAGAGAGGTTTTTAGAAGAGGCAACAGCACTAAGAAACACTGTATTCAATATAACCTAGGGTAAATATAAAGTGGCAGAAATATCTCTTACCTGCACATCATTTTTATTATCAGTACACCTTTCATCTTTTTCGACTTGAATTTGCTCATGGCTTTCTGATTTTATGAAGTATTCCACTGTGGTGTTGTCTTTTACGTCTGCTTCTGAACCTTTCATTGTATTACTTTCCTCCTTTACAATAACAGTATCAGTCATCCTCATTAGAAAGGGTTATTTTAAAAAAATCTAAAGGAAATATGGAGCCTTTGGAAGAATAGGAGGAAAAAAATAAGGCATTAAAATTTTTATCAGTGTTATCCCTATTCAAAGAACAGTTCTAGAAATTATTATCAGGGTAATTTTTACCCCTTCCCAAAACCCTCTCCTATTCCCTTAACCCTGTACCACTGTTTATTCTAAATTTTAAAAAAGAGAGAATGGTAAAAAAAAAAAAGGAACAAGTCTAAATTACCATATCAATAGGTATTTCCCTTCACAAAATTCATTTGGTCAACCTTATTGTGGATAAACAGATTCCAGTTCTTCTTTATAAGAATCTAAACTAAGGCTGAAGATCAGTTGAGACTGATCTATTATAGAATGAGAATTATTATTTAATAACATCCGAGTATCTTCAATAATTGAGTTTCCAATGTAATTTTAAGCCATACACCATAAATTTCTTTTCTGCCTTAGAAACAACAGATGGAAATCTATGAAAAAGAGTCTAGAGGATTTCTTGTTTAAATAAACAAACAAGGCTCTTCAAATAACAATTAAGACATAATCTTCTTAAATAACAAAATACTTAATCCTCTTGAAATAAACAATTATAACTCAAGGAAGAGAGATGTTGGGGAAAGGGATGATTATCAAACATCTCCTCCTTAAATTACAGGGGTAAGAAAGGCCTGCCATAAACTTTACTGAGGTACGAAGGACTTTTAGGAGTTTGCCTCCTTTTTCAAAAAACCAAACCAAACCACACTTTTTTCTTGAGGGAACTGAAGGCCAAAAAAGGGTTGGTGTGCTACTGCACATAGTCCAAAAATTACTCTTTGCTCCATCTGAAAGCAAGGCGAACAATAATTCTCAGTGACTTCCAAGGTAAAAACATGTAACCAATGTGACATGTTTGGGTTGTAAATTTTAGGATTTGGAGCAACTGTCTTCTCTGATATAGAGTGCCAGCTAACCAATATTGAAATACTGCAAAATAAACCCTTAGATATTACTAAAATATCTCCACATGTCTGGTGATTCAAAGGCTAGCATGGCATATTTCAAGGAAGTAAACCTAACTCTGAACACACCTTTGAAGGAGGAAGGCCTTTAGTGCACAGAGAGAAGAGTGCAGTATAAATGGAATTTTAATACTCTATTTTTTTAAAAAAAATCTTCTCTAAAAAAGAATCGTAGACATGATAAATGTTCAGCCTTACTCACCTGATGTATCCTGTAGGCCTGTGACTGTGATCTCCCACGAAAATAAAATAAAATAATCCAAGGATCTTTTTCACAGTCGTCAACCAAGATGTCAGCTGTGATGAACCATCTGGAATCTGGAAGGAGTCCCATGTCCTTATCACCATCGGAGACCCTTGGACTGTACTATACTGTGTTGTCTCAGCAATACCATCCCTTTAAGACACCTAAAAAGAGTTTTTAAAAAGTCAAGAATTTGGATTATTATTTTTTTAAATAGCATTATTGCAGTCTTTCCCCCACATTTCCATTCAATAATTTCCTTTCAGATTCAGGAAGCTAATCTAACAATGCAACTCTTGCTGATTACAGAGGTAATCCAACAGGAACACCATCCCTGAGAATTACCTTTTCTACAAGGATTTGAGCATCTTATAATCCAATTTTCTTTTACAAAACAATTTATTCATTTATTTATTCCATTTATACCCCGCCTATCTGTTCATTGTGAACACTCTAGGCGGCTGTCTCTGTCCCACACCCAAAGTTGTCATCAAGATGATTTATTGAATATAAAGAAAAATCATATCTCTGGTAAGTGCAGTGCATATAACAATGGAAAAAAGAAACAATGTCCAGTACAATGCACTTCAAATAATTAAATTTGCCTTCCACGGACCCCAAACTCATCCTACAGGTTGTAAACAGCTCACAAGAGACAGCAACAGGCAAGGGCAAAATTACCAGCAGCTCCTTCTGTGCAAGCTACTTTTAGGCTTTAGTACTGGTGAAGTAACAACATTGGTCTGTTTAAAACATTACTGTAATGTTTAAAACATTAGTGCAAGACCACACTTGTGGTCAATTAACCAAAACTGGAACCTAAATGCAGCTTGACAGCATGCACATAACAAGCCACTGACATTTATACAATTGCCACAGTACGAATCTGAAGTAAAATGGAACTACACAGACTTTGTAAGACATTCTCCACCCCTTCCTTGGACTGCATCTTTCCAAATCTGCTCTGTCCCTCTAATTGTACCTGACATCAATATGTATAAGTTAGTATGAACACTAAAATCTATCAGATTTAACTTCACAACTTGCACGAGTGCTGAGCTCATCTGTGAAACCACACTGTAACTCTTTCAATGTCTCCCAAGGCATTTAGGGCTACCCTTGTTCAATCTGCCCAAAACTTGAATATTTAAATATGTGCCAACAACAATTTAAGGAATTATAGTTTCAAGAGATGATCCAAGATGTTTTCCTTTCATGCTACAGGTTCTGTCCTATTGTACTTGTAGTGCCTTTCCATTCTTCAGGCCTCAAATATGAAGATTACCAGATTTGGAGACATAGCACATAGTTAAAGCAGATAGTGCAATGGTAAGTTTTAAAAGGAAACAGAAATATAAGGAGGACAGGGCTATCAGTGGCTACAAGTCATGGTGCGTCCCCTCCACAATTAGAAGGTATTTATGTATTCTTATATCAGTTTCTGCTGGGGAACAAGAGCAGGATAACACTATTGTGGTCAAGTTCAGTCTGTGAGTTCCCCCTATAAGGCAACAGAATGGCCACCATATAAACAAGGCTTCTGGATTAGATACGCCTTTGGCATTCTCTAGTGTGGACCATTTAATGTTCTTACAACTGAGATTAGAAACAGCATGTTGTTACACATTCCATACTTAAGTTTATAGAGTCAAACCAATGCCATTAAGCAATGGGAGTTTCTCAGATCTATAGTTGATACAATGGCTAGTGAAGGCGGGGGGCAGAGCAAAAGCATTCAAAGTGCAGCTACATTTCAGAATGCCAAAATATACTAAACATTAGCAGCAGCATGAATTAACAAATCATACCGTAGGAACATATAAGCAGTGGCAAAGAAAAGTAAAATTTGTATTGCTGGGGGAGAAGAAAGAGAGGGAGGCCACCAAAGAGTGCGCTAGGAACAAGGAGACAAAGACACTGAGAAAGGTTTTCACCACCCCTCATCTGCCAGTAGTAGCTGAAGATGAGTCTGAACCGCCGGACAGCTCAGTGGTCTAGGTATCTGGCTAACTGTTAGACAAGACCCAAGTAGCAGACTCTCAAGAGGAAAACTTTTTAACTCCGTCCTAGCCAAACAAGCATTGGTGCTGGCAAAGGAATTCAGCGTCTGGTTGTAAGAACATTTAAAAATAAATAAATAGGTAAATAAATAAATAGATAAATAAATAGATAGATAAACAAACAAACAAACACCAGAACAAATATTCAGAAGCCCCAAACATACCATGTGCCATTAAGTCATTTCTGATGTGTGGTGACTATATAAGTTAATAACCTCCAAAATGCGATATCATTAACAGCTCTGCTCAGATCTTGCAAACCAACAATACAGTATATCATATAAGATTGCTCTCATTTCCCACTACCCCCCACCAGCAACATTGTCTTTTCCAGTTCTGCTCAAGACTTGCAAACTTACACTTGTGAATTCCTTTATTGAGACAATCTGTCTTATGTTAGATCTTCTTCTGTTCCTACTGCACCCTGCACTTTACCCAGCAAGATTGTCTTTTCTGGGAAGTTCAGTATTTTCAATATGTGTGCATGATAGGATAGCCTCAGTTTATTTATTTTTGCTCTAGTGACAGTTCAGGCTTGACTTGATTGAGCATCTACTTTTCTGCCATTCCGGCTGTCTGTGGTATCTGTAAGAATCTCCTCCAACAACATATTTCAAATAAATTAATTCTTTTCCCTGTCTTTCTTCACTGTCTTTCATGTAGTATGGATGATTTGACCTTGGTTTCCAGTTACAATCTTTACAAATCCCCAGCTCTCCCCTTATTTTATTCCAAAAGGCAAGGGGACATCGTTTGGAAAACATTCACAAAACATGTTCGTAGAGCTTTTGGTCCAACATAGCTTTTCTTTCTCATATTGCCTACCCCAAGGAAAGGGTTTGAAAATTGGAACATAGCTTTTCAGTGTGCATTCTGCAGAGGGAGCATGGAAACATGTTCTTTGAAATCCTGGCCAACACAGCTAGTAGTTAAGGCTTCTGGGAGTTTTAGTCCAGGAACATCTAGGGATCCAAGTTTGGGAATCATTACTCTAGCGTACATACTCAGTGGCATAGTGTGGGTTGCCAGCACCCAGGCCAAGGAAAGTATTGCACTCCAACCAATGGACCATTTGTGCACAGTTTTTTTATTTATTATTACTACTTTACTTTTTTTCTTTTGAAATTTTCCACCCTTAAGAATTTTGCGCCCAGGAAAAAAACACCCATGTGCTCCCCATGCTACGCCAATATATGCACTTACACCTTTGTAAGTGCATATTGACAAAAACAGTCCTTTAAAATATTTTGGCACGGAGGGGCTTACAGCCCACCTTTCCTTGTTTCTTTCCTCTCCCAGCAACTATACTACAGATAATGTGCTTATTTTCTGCATCCTCTACCGTTAGGCAATTCTACAGGAGGGAAGTTTCCTTGAGATTTGTATGTAGTGTATGGATATTGAAAACCTCCATTTTAAAAGGAAAGGAAATTCAATTCTTTAAAAAGAATTTTTTGAAGCCAAAAATGCAATAGGATTCTGGGATTTTCCCTTACTTGGTGTCACTTTGTGAGCACAAGAGAGTATCCTGTAGACCAGTGGTTCTCAAACTGGTGTTCCCAGATGGAGTGCAGCTCCAGAAGCCTTCACCACTTGCTGTGCTGACCAGGATTTCTGGGAGTTGCAGTCCAAGAACATCTGGAGACCCAAATTTGAGAACCAATGTTGTAGACCACCTTGATCATTGTCATAAGTGTTGTCAACATTCAGGCTGCCCTTTGCTGTGTAAAACTTGGCATCTTTTTTCCTGCTGGCAACACGGGCACAATACTGTGCAGCAATATTGGTCCATTTCCTGATGTTTTGAATCCTGTCTACAGAAGGGCAATATCCCACATTCATAAACTAGAGGCTTTAAAAATAAAAATAACTGAATTTATATCAAGGCCACTGAGATTTCTGATGTCTTTATACAACTTTACTGTAGTTGAGAAATGAAACATGTTCAGCAGTGAAAAAATACCGTGCCTGGTCAGACTATGAATGCAGCTAAGAGACAGAATGTTTCCCATTTATAAATACTATAGACCAGTTAACGAGTTGCAACATTATATTAAGATATAATGGATCACCATACATGGAAGTAAACAACTACAGCTGCCATATAAGGAAAATCAGGAAGATGAGAAATGTGTTGTCCAACAGAGGGCAGTAAAACTCTTCAACATCCCCAATACACAGACTGACACCTGCTGACTGAAGAGTTTAAGAATTCTGAATCCTTATAAAAGACCAAAATGCCTAGTCAAACTAGCCTCCTTCTTTCAAAATTTAGAAGCAGCAAAACAGAATGTTTACTTCTATTAACAAAGGAGAACATCCCTTCC